GCGCGCGATGAGAGGAAATGAAAGATCATCCGTGCGATAATTACCACGCACGCGACTTATATTTCAAGTTGCCCAAATCAGGATAGTTACACGAGGCGCGTTTTTCCAGAGGTCTCGAACGGGAGGATATAGACTTCAGGTGCTCAGGAAAAAAGAGACTTGCAAAAAAGACTGACTTGAAATGACAGAAAAAAACCAAAGAGTAATTTAGCCGGCTGCCCACTGACTGTATTTTATTTTCAGGCGCCCAGGCTGATTTTGTACTATAAATAGTACTTTTAAATACATCGATGATGTCATCGTACGATTTTTGAGGCTACAAAACCTAGCTCGAGGATCGACGGATTAATTTGCAGAACAGAATTCGAAGAGAAAAAATTGACTCCCGGATAAATTTGGAGCCTCCTACAAGAAATTGAACCTGCATATCGGTTCGACGTCCAAGACAATCACCGTAACTCATGAGACTTGACCGGAGTTCGAGGCTGACCTAACTCAACACGACCCGGAAATGAACTGAGCTAAAGCAGGGTGCCTACCGTCCGTAAAAATCAGGAAATTCGATGTTTTCGGGAAAAATCAGGAAAATATCGGTAAAATTGAACACGGGTCAGAAAATTCTGAGCGCTTCAAGCATTTGCTTCGTTTCATAAAATATTTTGATTCTTTGAAATCAAACGAGTGTCAATTTACGAGCGTGAAAAATCAGGAAATCTCGTCTGAAATAACGGGAATATATCAAGAGACTTCAAAATTCAATTTTAGTTGACCCCTGGATTGGAAAATTTGCAACGTTGAAAAACAGTCACGTTCTTTCGTCAGGAAACGTAAGATTCGTTGGCGACTCCACTCCAACTGATAATACATACATATGATTATTAAAGTTTCCTATGACAGAAAAATCAGGAAATCTCGTCTAAAATAACAGCAAAGAATTCAAAATTCAATTTTAGTAGACCCCCTGGATCGGAAATTTTGCAACGTTGAAAAACAGTCACGTTCTTTCATCAGGAAACGTCAGATTCGTTGGCGACTCCACTCCAACTGATAATACATACATATGATTATTAAAGTTTCCTAGAAAAGAAAAATTAGGAAATATCGTCTAAAATAACAAAAGCATTCAAAATTCAATTTCAGTTGACCCCCTGGATCGGAAATTTTGCAACGTTGAAAAACAGTCACGTTCTTTCATCAGGAAACGTCAGATTCGTTGGTGACTCCTTTCCAACTGATAATACATACATATGATTATAAAAGTTTCCTAGCAAAGAAAAATTAGGAAATTTCGTCTAAAATAACAAAATAATTCAAAATTCAATTTCAGTTGACCCCCTGGATCGGAAATTTTGCAACGTTGAAAACCCGTTACGTTCTTTCGTCACGAAACGTCGGATTCGGATTTGTAAAAGAAAAATCGTCTGAAACACGAGGAAAAGAATGAAATTCATCGGAAGATGAAAAATTAAATTTCAGTAGACACCCGGAGTCGGAGTGGAATTGATAAGCAGAGCACTGCGGCGGGGAAAAGTCGAGCGGACAGGTATACACCGAGTTAATTGGCGATCAGCTGGAATGAATGAGACGCGTGTTACGACGGGAGCGGACGTTGCGGGGGCGGGGGAAAAGGCGAGAAAAGTTGCGAGTCCGGAGCGAGAGCGTGAGTGGCTGCATTCGCAAGGTTGCGGCCTTTGTGGGTGTCCGTGCCCCGCTCTCGGCTGCGGCGGCGTCGCGTTCGCGCCCGCGCTCGCGCCGGCCCGGTTATTGAGCGATGCGCGAGTCGCCCTGCGTGCGTTGCCGCTCGAAACGCAGCGCTCCAGCCCGCCCTGGCTCAGTGCCGCGGACAAGGACGACCCCGACTCCTCCGCATCCTTGAGCATCCCCAAAACAAACCGACAGGCTCTCCGTGCGCTCCTCCGAATCCTCGGGCCCCGAAATGCGCCCCCACAGTTCGCGTCGCGTCGCTCCCCCGTCGACGGCGAGTATTCCATCGAGTGCGGGCCCGAGCCAGGTGCTGCTCTTCTGAGGACCCGAGCAAGGATCCGAGTCGCCAGGATCGTCTTGGCCGACCTCTTCGTCGACCCGTACGTTAGTGACTGTGTGTTTGACTCTCGATGTCTAGATGCTACCGTTAGAGTGTGCGAGGAGATTTTCGGGCGGCTGTCGCCCGCAGCTGTGGCAGAGGGTGTCCCGACGCGGGGGAGGCCCGCTCTGCTCCTGGAGCCTCGATTGACCAACGAACCCCGTTCAAACACCGATCTCAACCCCAGCGAATTAGGCGAGAGCCCGTTCGCACGCAGTGATATTCGCGGCGGTAAACTACCTCAATCTATTTATGCATGTGATATAGAGCCAAGTTCGTTCAATTTTCTAGAGAACCCCATACTGAGCGACGGTTTCAAGTCGTTCCTGGTAAACTGCATCAACGATGATAAAACCCCATTTTGTGATCAGCTGTTTTTCCGGCTGCTTTTCTACCTAAACGTTATTGGATTGAATTTGCTTTCGCGCTTCGGAGAGTTCGCCCGCGAGAGGAACGATGCGCTCCCCTGGAAGTTAACTAAAGAGGTGACGAACGATTACAATTTCAATAATATTCCTGTCTATCGGGACTGTTATCAAGACAGAGCCAGTCCGTTAGAAAAGAATGACTCGCCAGCGACCTCAGAAAATAAAACGCCTCAGCGAGAAAGCGAAGGGTGTCCGAGCCTCGAGGATGACATCTTGAGGAACCAAAATTTTCCACGAAAGGAAAAGTCTCAGTCCGTAGTGCAAGAGGAAAAAAAGGAGAGAGTGAACCCCAAACCTGAATACGATGATGCGAGGGTGCGAGAGTCGGACCCTTTCCCCACTTTGATCGACTCGAATTGCGATCAACTCGTCGAGAGGGGTTGCGAAATCAATCACAGCGAGGCGCAGAGCCTTGATTTCATTAGGGATTTAATCCCTTGCTACGAGCAGCTTTCTCGAACGGATGAGGCATTACGGGGACAAATCGAGGCAGAACCCCACTGCGTAGCACCCCAACTGGAAGCTAGTCCTCAGGCCCATCAAACGACAGGTAGATTGAATTTTAATTTCGAGCCGAATTCCCCTCAAGCGTCGAGGGATCTGGGAGGTTTGTCACCTCCGAGAGGCGAGGATTTCGAGTGGTGGAACCAGACTGAAGGGAGGTGGAATTCGCGGGTCTACATGAACGCGATGAGGCAGAAGAGCCCTCCGGACGCGGGACGCGAAGATGGTAGCGCCGCGGGCGCGGAAAAGGTGCTCAAGTCGGCGCTGAAGCGGGGCGCCAAGAAATCCGGTCACCGAGTGAAATTCGACGAGAGCCTCAACAAGTTCTTCGACGCGGATTACGTCATCCTGGTGCGCGAGGACTCCGAGTTCGAGGACCGGTTCGGCGAGGTGTGCGAGTGCGGCGACGAGTTCTGCGACGGTCGCTACTACGAGGACGAGGAAAGTGACGACGATGACTTCATCCTCTCCAACTGCCCGTGTCCCCACGGCCACGACGACGGATGCGGGGACCACAACCAGGGCTCGAACCGGTTCCGGCCCAACTCCCGCATGGGGCCCGGCTACGAGTTCCCGATTCCGGGGCCCGGCCCCGGCGGGTGCGGGAGCACTTTCGAGCCCCCGCTGGAATTCGTCGACGTCGAGCAAGACGTCACTCTGAGCCCCCCCGACGGTTACAAGGACGGCTGTTGCTCCCATCGATTTCCGGAGTCGAGCGAACCTGTCATTCACGCTCACCTGAATGCCCATCAAAGTAAGCACGATTCATTCTTCATTCAATATGACTCACGTGTAACGGATCCTCCCATTGTTCCCCTCTTCATTCAAGCCCCGTTTCCATTCGTGCGGATTCCAGCCGCCTCAAAATAGGGCAGAAGATCATCTCGGAGCCAAACAAACTCTTCCTTCACTGGAAAAAAAAACAAAACATATTGGATCTAAAGTCCAGACTCTTGAAAACATTGACAAGAAAAAGGACTCTTGATTCAATCAGATTAATTGGACCGCGTTAAACAGAAAGGAACCAAGCCACATCAGCTATTGCCAAATTTAATCGGGCGATTTAATTTTTTACATGAAAACGGTTGTGCGGATTTCTGTGCAAATCTCAGTGAATTTTTTCCATAATACAAAGCAAATTCCTTAAAATTTGCAAAGGAATCTGCACAGGTGTTTTTTCGTAAAAAATGTAATTTCCCTGTTAAATTTGGCAACAGCTGATGTGGCTTGGTTCCTTTCTGTTTAACGCGGTCCAATTTAAGGTTAAATCAAGAGGAAATCCGCTCAAATTAAGAGGCTTGGTTCTTGATTTGAGCTTAAATCTGATTGAATCAAGAGTATTTTTTCTTGTCGATGTTTTTAAGAGTCTGGACTCTAGATCCAATGTGTTTTTTTTTCCAGTGATTCAAGTGCTGAGTTACCTCACGGAAAATCGGCTCTTGGGACTGCTCCGTTTTAAAATTGGACGTATTTCTGCCAAACGGAAGTATGTGCAGTATGATGTGAGCCCTGGCTCTGTCATGCATGTATTATGATGGGTCTCAGGGCTCATGTCTTAATGCACGTAGTTCCGTTTGGCAGAAATACGTCCAATTAAAAGGAGCAGGGCCGCCATTTCAGGCAAACCGGGGAGAGGGGGGGGGCAAGAGAAGGAAGAATTTGCTTGGAGGGGTGCAAAACTTCAAAAAAGCTCGAAGAATGTTCTGAAGTCGATCAAAGTTTCTTTACAAAACGATCAATTTTCCTAGGATTGAACTGCGAGGATAATCCGCTAAAAATTAGAATCAGTATACTCTTAAAATTCCCAGAAAAATGTGTATTTATCGGAGGAAATTTGACAACAACCGAGGGCTCACGCAGCGTCCTTCCTTAGCAATAGCATGGCAGGAGGGGACAGCGGGTTGATTATTGAATCGTTATGATTGAATGATCCTGATCGATGAATCCCTATCTTAGCAATGCTTTCTATCGATCAAGGTGATTCGATATAGATTCAACGATCTAGCCGCAGTGTTGCCGTGCTAAGGAACAACGCCGTATGAACATTTGAGGGGTGCCAAATTTCTTTCGATAAAGTGATCATTTCAGAGGAAACTCATGAATATTTTCCCTTGAAATTTTTAGGACTTTTCGATGGAATTGCGTTATCTGACAAAATGGAAGAAAAATATTCATAAGTTGACCAAGAAATTCGTGTTTTATAGAGGGAAATTTGGCAACGCCTGAAGGTCCATACGGTGTTCTTCCTTAGCACGGCAGAGTAATAGTTGGACTGCATTTTGCAATTTGGAACTATAGATTCTGGCTCTTCTAGAAAAACACGTATGTGCATAGGGAAACCCTGGTAAAAATTGGCAGTAGAATCTGTGTTCCAAAATAGCATAGACCTAAAGCCGGCTGTAAGATTTTCAATAGCTTCTATAGCCGGCTGCACAATTTCTTATAGCCTTTTATAGCCGATGGCGATTGAGCAACAGCCAGGCGATAAAGTGTATGCTAAATGTTACTTATTACGGATGCTAGGACTGTTTTTGGATTACCTCTCTATTTTTGGGCCGTAGTATCTTGATTTATTTTGCGAGGAAAGCTCCGTCCTTTTGAAGGATGCCTGCCATTCCTAATATGTTGGAGCGCCTTCAATTTCGTATGATACTGTGCAATACCTCTGGTGTGAAATAGTTGCTTCAAGTGCCGTGGCACGCTGTGGCGCGGCGGGCGGGCAGCCAGCGCGAAAAGCGCCTTAGCGCCTACAAACCTAACAGGGATACTTCACGCATTGCGCCATGCGTGAAGTATCCCTGTTAGGTTTGTAGGCGCTGCTGCGCGCTTATCGCTGGCAGCACGCCGCTCCGCTCTGTGTTAGGCTCCAATATAATCTTGCGGAGTCAGCGTTTTTCAACTCATGATTTTGAAATGTTTGCACACCCTGTATGGATTATTCTCATTTTAATTGATGAAAAAAAATATGTATTAAAGGAAAATATAATGTGTGTTTTGTGAATATTATGGTGGTTCCGTATCAAACTTAATGATTTCCAAAGCACACGAATTTCTACACAATTTCTTATAGCCTTTTAGAGCCGATGGCGATAAAGTGTAAAGCCCGGCGATAGGAACTATAGCCCGGCTGCATACTTTTTTATCGCTTCGTATAGCTCGGCTATATGATTTGCTCCGCTTTCTACAGCTAGCTATATGATTTTCTATTGCATTCTTTAGCCGGCTATAAGAATTCCTATGGTATTTTGAAACGCAGCTCCTATCGCCAATTTTTACCAGGGAACTAATGGCACATACGTTGTTTTTAAACCGGGCTAGCATCATAGTTCCAAATTGAAAAATTTAGTCCAGTTAGGGGTCATAAAATGAGCCAAGTTCCACCTGTGCCTGTAACCAAGTACCGACGTAAGTCGACCAACATGTATCAACATACGATCTAAGAATATTGAAATTTTCTGATAAAGGAATATTGCAATATTGTTGCAAACCATTTGAACTTCATTTCGCGATATTTTTAATGCAAAAAGCTACTTGAAGGCGTGGAATGAAAATATGAAAGAAAGTGCCTATTCGATTCGAAACGCGAGGACAATCGATCGAAAGATGTCATGTGTTTTGACAACTGCAAGTATAGAATATATTGTGAGCGTATATTTGATTAATAGATGGCTGACGCGAGTGAAGCATGGTGGTTTTGTTAATCAGTGGCGTGGCGTAAATTGCGATGTATCGATTGTTCTGCCATTTAACCTATGGTAAAGAATCGATTATTAAGGCGTTCGCTGCGAACACCCTGTTTATCGATACTTTTCCATAGGTTTAAATGGCAGATCAATCGATATATCGCAAAGCACGCCACGCCACTGCATGGTGGTTTTGTTAATCCCTGGCGGCGGTAGTTCAGGAGGAGAGTGGGGAACAGGGTAATGGGAACGGTGTCTAGCGTCGCCGAGAGAAAGTAAGCATGATCGACAAGTGTCTATAAACAAGACTCCGCATTTTGCACTTTCCTGGAGATGCCGCTCTGGCGTCTCAAGAACATTCAAAAATTGCCAAATTTCCTCTGATAGAACACAAATTGTCAGGGAAAATCGGGAGTGTTGCAACTAGAGTAGTTACAACTGGGGAAAGAAAAGATTGGACCAGTGTTACATCAGGAAACGGCACCGATCAAAAGAAATTTCAGGGTGTCCACTAAAATAGGCTGGCCAAAAATAAGTACTTTTGCAGTACTTTTTCGGTGCATTCCCAGGAAATTAGGTACCCCCATTTGACGAAATTGACAAGGAGTTTCAAACATTTGAAATTGCGACAAAAATGACGAAAAATTGATACAAATTCCGTACCTTTTTGCGGAATTTCCGCATTGTTTCGGTGCTTCCGGACCGCCCTTAAAAAATAAGTACTACTTCCGGACTTGTAGACACCCTGGCTGACAAATGGGCTAACTGATGATTGATGCGACTTCAGTCCGATCTTTTCTTTCCCCGGTTCTATTATTTTAATTTTTCAGAGAGTATCCTCCGCAGTTCATTCCAAGATACAGTCTCGTTTTTCGCGAGAGTTCCATTCCTCGAAAATCTCGCGAACGACGAGACCCCTACCCTTACAAAAAAAGTGGGTTTTGTGCCAGTGCTGGAAAATATTTACGAAATTGTTCAGAATGAAATCGCAAAAACCCACGCGCTTCGGCGAATGCGCTACAGACCTCCTTCGCCCGGCACCTTTTTACGAACATCCTTAATTAATTTACTTTAAATGAAGGAATATTTTTACCAGAAAATTGGGACAGGCGAAATCTGAGTGTTGGTTTTTTTTAGTCTCGTGCCGCCGCACGATGGGTCAAGTCAATGGGAGAGGTCAAACTTGATTTACAAACTTTAAAAGCGTATATCTATATTGATATGAAATTTAAATATTTTAAAATTACTTCCATTGGTTTTCCTGTAAAATTTTCTCTAAGAAGCACCCCTTAAAATTAAAATTGTGACGAGATAAACGTAAAATTTAACAATTCTTGTCAAAAATTTCATATCCGACTTCTTCAAAAGACTCGTTCCTTCGTGCGCCGCAGGGGTGAGTGCCTCGAGGGCCAAGCCCCAAGCGCCTTCACGTCTGAGCGTAGACAACACGGACATTCGTGGGGTTCGAATAGTTGCATTCAGGCGATACGATGAAATTTGTTGCAGGTGTTGGTCGCATGCAATATTAATTGTTTTATCTACAATTTTGAAGCTTAGCATTGAAAACGTGTCTCCCTGATGACGGAGCAGAACGAAAAAGAGAAAGAAAAAAAACTGTGATCGAGGTTACAAACCATCGAAGAGGTGAAAATTCGTGTGTGCGCGAAACTCGCGAGGCCGGAGCTCGCTAGTGGTGAGGAGACCAGTGGCCTGGCGTGCTGTGCGATTCATCGATTGATCTGCCATTTAAACCTATGGAAAAGGATCGATATACAGGGTGTTCGCAACGAACATCTTAATAATCGATTCTTTACCATAGCTTCAAATGGGGAAATGTCGATAGTCGATCATTCACGCCACGTTACTGGAGCACTGAAAAAAGAATTCTCGGCGTTTTTACCACGGTCCGTTGGTACCTTTACCATCTCACTTTTTTTACCAATCATTGGTAATTTTACCAAGACAGACTGGTAAGCTTACCTAAAAATCGGTATTTCTACTGTTTTTTTCAGGTAAGAATACCACTTTTATTGGTAATCAATTCCCGGTAACTTTGCCATTTTATCTCGGTAATTCTACCACAGTCGATAATAACTATTGGCGTTTTTACCAAGGTCTCGTAAAATTACCGAGAAAGTTCAATAATTTTACCGAGATTTCTCGGTAAAATTACCAATTCCATAATGGTAATTTTACCAAGAAAAAACTGGGATCAAATAGAACCCTGAATTCTTGGTAATTTTACCATTTTCTTAGTAAATACACCGAGATTTTTTTTTAGTGAGGAGGCCTCTCGATTCCCAACTCGCGAATATTGTAATCGAGAATACTGATTTTGAGGCAGAGTATTAAAAGCTCTCCTTAAAAATGAGTATTTCATCGGAAGGAATGTGGCAATGCCTGAATGTTCACAGGGCGTTCTTCCTTGGCACGGTGCGGTGGAACACTCGAGGCGCTCATCCTGATTAGCGCTACCACCCGAGCAGTTTATTTTATAGACTAATCATAACTTGCTTCCATCTTGATTAGCGCTTCCACCCGAGAAGTTTGCAAACTCGTCAAAGCTGACTTATTGATCCACTTATTTCATCCCCTTACGGACTGACTGCAAAGAACTAACTGTCGGTCACCTAAAATCCCTGAATGATAAATGAAAAAAGTAAACTGAGCCAAATAGACTTCTGATAGATACCTATATATCGATGGTGAAACTGCAAAAATGCGTACATCGGTTGCGGTGTTTGAAAATCTAAGCTCTTATTTTATTTTTTGAAAGGAAACCGAACCAACATCGTGGCTTGAAATTTTCACAGAATATTCTTCACATAGAGAAGAAAAATATCCGAAGTGCTCAATAAATGATGTTGAGTGGTTTTCCATATGAAAAATAAAGTATGACAGGAAGTCTGCAACGCCGCAAACCTATATACGCATTTCTGCAGTTTCACTATCGATATCCAGAACGACTTCTTTACATTTTTCTTATAAGGTTGCCATAGAATGCAGACAAAAATTTCCTGTCACATTTTCGTGAAATTCCCCGACAATAGATAAGTAGTCCCTTCATACCCCGGGTATAAAGGGACTTGACTACGGCCGACGACTACCTGACAACTGAAGATATGACAGATGATTAAAAAGACATAATTTGGAACTGTTTTCAGGCAAATTTGTTGTTCGAAACGTCAACCCATTCAAGGAATCAAATAAAGGTGGCGTAACCATTTTTTCCTGGCCCTTACGTCATTTTCCCTGACTATTTAAAATTCCTTGACACTTCCCGGTATTCCCTGACTGTGGCAACCCTAGCTGTTCTTGCACTCGTAAATTTATTTCGCAGGCAAATACAATATTTCTATAATTCGATAAATTCGTTTCGATTAAATGATATAGTCCAGGCGCCTGGTAGCTAAAAATGAGGCTACCTGGAATTTTGGGTACACAGCTATTTTTTTGGGTTACTTTATGTTTTTTGGGTCGCTGAATCCGAATCTGAAGTTTCCTACCGCGTATCTGGTGAGCATTTTCCGCCATTTCGAAAAAATGGCTTAAAAAGGCCTTTTTTTGCGTTTTTTTTTAATATAGCGGCTACGCATGAGAAAAAGTCCCGGATTTAGTTAATGTTTTGAATAGCTGACATAATTTGAAAGAAAATGGTGTATATATATATATGCTAGGTTTGCTTAAAAATTGAGGAAGATACAGCATCGTGAACATCGCGCCCATTCACGTTTTCGCGGCGCACCCGTCAACGCGCGATCCGGCTCGCCGCGGTCAGCCAAGTTCCGAAGTGTTCCAAAGTCCCGAGATCCGAGGTTCCTCAATTTTTGAGAAAACCTAGCATATTCATATACCATTTTCTTCCAAATTTTGTCAGCTATTCAAAACATTAACTAAATCCGGGACTTTTTCTCATGCGTAGCCGATATATAAAAAAAACCGCAAAATAAGGCCTTTTTAGGCAATTTTTTCGAAATGGCGGAAAATGCTCACCAGATACGCGATAGGAAACTTCAGATTCGGATTCAGCGACCCAAAAAACATAAAGTAAGCCAAAAAAATCGCTGTGTACCCAAAATTCCAGGTAGACTTACCAGGTGCCTGGACTAGATGCCGAACAAAATGAACACGACTTCAGAGGGCAATTTTTCTAAAATTTACCGAAATAAAAACTTAACGAAACACAGTATGCTGCTTGCACCTATCTTCTAGTTGCGTGTCCTCCTCGTAAAAATGTTGAATTCAGTTCCTTTTAAGGTTGACTTGAAATGCATCCTTTTTTTCTTCCATCTCTGCGAGCAGTCTAGTCGACCGGAGTGAAGAATAGGAGGATGTTGCGCCAATCTCACTTCCAGTCCGGTCTAACCGCGTCAACTTCAACTGATCGCACGATAGCTATACTTTGACCATTCTGCGATGTGCGTTTCTAACGCGCTTCTGAGCATCATCGTTGCCAGATTCAGTGCTAATTGGACATATTTCTGCCAAATGGAACTATGTGCATTAAGACATGAGCCCTGAGACCCAGGAGACTATATGCACAACAGGGCTCACGTCGTAATGCACATACTTCCGTTTGGCAAAAATACGTCCAATTCTCTCTGGCATTTCTAGGAGAGTTGAGAAAGAAAAAGTCCGGGAGGTCGCTATTGTTCAGGTGCCCCACTTTGAAATGGAAAAATTTTTGAAAACTGAAAAAAAAGTGGTCTCTGATTTCAAAACCCGCGTTGTTGGCCTAACGAGCTGGGGCGTTCCATCACAGATTGGCGCCAAAGATGGCGATAATACCCAAAAAAATGTCTTATCCCCAAATGAAGCTAACGGCCTTTTTCTAATGTAACTTCTGTTCCTGGTTTCAGAGCCTGCTGTCGGTCTAACCGGAGCTGGGGTGTTCTGCTTTAGGGTCTAAAGGGGGCGAAAATGCTGAAGAAATGTCTCATTTTAAAAAGCAGACAAAGCTTTTCTAGCACAATACTTAATACCTCCTGATCCTAAAAACAAAGTTGTCATAAAAAAGTAGCCTTGGGGGAGTATCTACCGAAATCATTCAACAATTCCGGTTGTATGGGCAGGGCCGGATTTACCTACTTGCCGCCCCCTTCACATTCGTTTTGAAACATTAATGAAAACCATCAAGTGAACGTGCCGGAGAGGGAGGGGTGCATAAGACGCGTTTACCTACTTGTGTTGGATACATTTTTTGCGAAAGCCCTGTCAACACTACTAGCAAAACACGGAACTTTGCGCGAAAGTTAAGTTCCGTAAACCTATCTCTGTGTGGACAAGGTCCTCCATTTATAAGAAATGAACGAAAAAATTACGAAAGAACAGACAGAACTGTGGTATAATAATTTTAGCTTCCGCCGCTTCGCCGCGCTGATCGCTCTGTGTTTGGCGCAATGCGTGAAGTATTCCTGCAGTCTTGTAGGCGCTATGCGTTTCCCGCCGACAGCTGCTGACCGCACTGTGTTTGACGCAGTGCGTGAAGTATTCATGCAGTCTTGTAGGCGCTAATATGTGTTACATGCCGACCGCGCCGCGGGCTTGTCCTTTTCACAACAAGTCCTCGTCATCATCCCTCTCTGCGCTGAGCTCCAGGCCAAATTGCGTGCCATACAGCGTCGCCATATAGTGCCCGACCGTCCACGGAACAAGAGACCTCTCAGACCTCACAAAGAAACTTTATGGAAGAGCCATTATTGTCGAGTCGTATAGAGGCTCGGATTGTGAGATTTCGATAGGTTGCCTATTTTATCTCGTGCCGTAAAGAATCTGCCTCGAGCGATAAAGTTCATTTTTCCGGCGAAAGAGGGAGTAACATTTTTAAATTGCATTTGCACAAAATTGGAACAAAATATAGATTAGAATGTTTAACAGGTTCTTCTCGAAACTACGTTCCTTCTACTGATACCATCAAACCGATAAAACTCCGATTTGGTTTGAAATTTTTGAGCGAATGAATGCCAAATATTTTTGTCGGACACTACATTATGCTCTGTATGAATAAACTCGATCGTGAGTTTTTGTGAACTAGGTCCATTTTCTCCGTATCGTTGGTCAAAAAATAACGCCATACATTCGGTCGCTAGCGCCTAGCGAGTCGGCTGTTAACAGTATTGAATAAACTCTCGAAATTAACACCTGGGAGCTCGTTTTTGAGGCCCTAGGTTCGGTCGAAAAACTTTTTTTTTTTTTTTTTTTTTTTTTTTTTTTTTTTTTTTTTTTTTTGTGGTTGTTTCCCCTTGTTATATGCTGTGGCCGCTTCTGACTCACTGCCTGCGCCCAGAGCGCCTTCAAAATCCCACGTGGGCCTCAATTGGTGCACGTGCTAAAACTGACACTGTATTGTGATTCAGCGTGCATTACCTTACATTATTAGACATGGAGACCCTCTAATAGACCTTTTGGCAATCAGGGGTGCAGAAGAAAATTCATAGCCTATCCTAATTTTGTGATTTGCCTTCCCCAAAATTTGATGTTTTGTTGCAATTATTCCTCTATATACGCAACGCACTTGATAGTTTCTTTCCCCAAGAACCGCACTTGAAAGGTTTCCGGCACAGAAAACAATGTGCTAGCAGTTTTCTCCCCAAATTTGATCGATATATGTAAAAAAAAAAGGGGGGGGGCTACCCTAATTTTCACGCGAGAGGCCACAGGACCATGATTTCGTGATCGAGAATAGTGTGCACCCTTGCGTTGGCAATTCATAGAATTAGGATAAGATATTTAACTGAGTATCACTAATTTATTTGATTTGGGAACGGACAAAAATTGACTGATTCTGTAATTTTTTGATTTCAGAGTTCGAGAGAGACCAGGATTCAGTTGGTTCTATCAGTTCAACGATAAATCAAGAATCCAAAGCAAGTGAAACACATGTCCGGAGTCTTCAGAGCAACAATGAAGCCTCGGAGCTTCATCGAGAAGAAGAGCCAAATTTCAGGAATGAGGAACAAGAAAAACCAAATTTTGTACCTGAAACAACTTCTTCGAAGTTTTCAAATTTGTATAGCCAAGGAAAACTTTCTCCAAACTCTTTAGAAAGAAATTTAGGCTTAAAACTACGAACTTTGAACTCGAGTCAAAGTTTGAAACCAAACTCGGCTGTGCGTCAACTCTTCCCTTCATCAAACTTCATTCTACCCCCCCAATTTGCACAAAAATCCCCAGATTTAGAGGAGGCTTCCTTAGGTAATAGTTACGCTAGATTTGTGCCAAATTCTTCGTTATTTCATACATATACATCAATAGAAAATGATGAGGACGATGATGATGATGGTCTGTTAGGAAACAATCTTTTCAAGAAAACAATTGAAAAAAATAGTCTTCGTAGAAGTTTAATTAGATACCCTAAAGATTATAGAAAAAGGAAATGTAAAAGAATTGGCAGTGAAAACTCACTGACTGAGAGGATTAAGAAACTAACTTGTGATATAGATGATGAAGAGAATGCAGTCTCAAATCAAAATGAACCTGAACAAAGCAAGTCTCAACTACAAGAGGAAAATGAGAATAGACAGACACAACAAACTCAGCCTCTGTACTCCAATGAAGTAACAACAATTTTGAGTCCTGAGAGGGCTGAAAAAGTAGAAAAACCAATGATGACCACTCAATCATCATCAACTTCTTCAACCATGTCTTCCACCTATAAAAAGTTGACTGACCTTTTTAGTAGAAAATCAGAAAAGTGTGATACTAATTCCGCTGCAGGGACACGAAACACGGACCAGCATCATCATTCTCTGTACAGACCAGTCTATCAAACAGCTCCTGATCTTGGAAATGGATTAAATATCTCGAATAAATACCCGGTAACAAAAGGATCAACGGAGGCAAGGAAACAATTTTTGTCATCTTTAGCACCTTTGACTGCTTGTGTTTCTGGTAACTTTGAGCCATCCTCTCCTCATGGACCACTCTCACTAAATCTGAGCGGGAACAGAAATTCAGTTGCAAGTGTTGATTCCAACATGAGCTCTGAATACAGTGTGAACGATATTGATGAAGCTTTAGGCAGAGCACGCACTGAGCCCCCGAAACTTGCACCTCAGCCAGATGTAATAGCTGGCACACCTGCAGGAAACTCAGATGCTGGCAACAATGATGAGCTCGCATTGTTTGTGCAACAAGACGCAGGTCGTATCGAACGGATCAAAAATAGATACACTGGATCCACAAATGGAGATTCAGATGAGGATAATGATGATTATGGATTTCATCGGAGGCCATCAGTCAGAGGTATTAAACCACGCTTTGGTTCAACAACAGAGATAATCCAACAAATTCAATCCCAGCTACAACCACCTGCTGCTCTGAACCCAGCAAATATCGGGAGTCACATGACCTGGCCATATTATACAGTAGAGCAAAAATCATTTGTTACCAGTGATACAAGTAATACTTTGATAACAACTGATACAGCATATTCCAGAAATCACCCGAATAAACTGATTACCAGCACAGAATCTAGTCCAGAGGGTATGATTAATCAATCTATTCCATATGCAAATCGCTATTCTGCCCGTGCTTCTAACATAATGTACCAACAAGACCTTCTTGCAACAAGTCGAGATTGTCCCATTTATAGAAACCAGAGGATGGTTCAAATGCATCTTTCTCCACTTCCAGCTAGTCAACAAGTGAGGTTCTCTGCGCCGGGTCCTCAGTTCAAACATGAGGTTTCGTCACACTACTTGGTACAAGCTCCGCAATCTGGTATTACCTCAATAATTCATGTGGAGCAGGGTCAACAGCAGACAATCCGTGTGCCATATCCTACCAGTGGTCCAGTTCAAGTACATCTACAAACCTCGCGACGTAGTGAGAGTCCTATTTTGCAAAACCAGCACTCTATCTCTGTGCGAAGCACACAGACATCAGCAATGCCCTATTATGATCCTAAACCACCGCCTCCTTACTACAATTATGGACCTTTGGTTTACGTAGATCATACTAGACCTGGCCTCCCTCCTAACAACTGTGTAAATTCGAATTTAGGCTCTCCTTTGTCTTCTGTGACATCTTCGCCCACCAAGTCTAAGCCAGAGACTAGTCTTTGTGCTGAGCGAGGAGTGCCAGAGGGAGCAGCGAGTGTGCCGCTTAACTATCAACAAGATCCTTTATACTCAGTTCCGGTCCCTCCGATGAGCCAAGAAACTCTCATAACTCTAACTCCGACTTCACAACCTAATTCATCAGTTTATTATGCTATGAATGTTTGACACAACGAGAACTTTTATAACTATTCATACTCTTATAACCACATTTCGTACCAAGACAAATAACGATGAAAGGAGAAAGATTCATCTCAGGTCAACGCACTTTTCGGCATAATAGTTGTTCTTGTTTTTTTCAATTGTTGTTACTGTTGTTATTGTTAAAAAATCAGTCGTTAAATATGTAATATAGGTATAAATACATTAATTTCTTTACTTCAGAATCTTTTGTAAATTATGTAATGGATGATGCATTCAATTTATTAGTGATAACATTTTTTCTTTTACTCTGAAATTTATTTTCTTTTTTCCTTTTTGAAGATTTTATGTACTTACAAAATTAGATTTTGTTTGTTTCTGAGAAAATCTCATGGAGCACATTTGAAGGAAACAGGAGAAAAATGAGATAGTAGATTTATGACCATTATAATTTACGAGGGAACAAAGCTAGGTTCGTGCCCAGAGGAGATGATCGTGAGCGGCAAATACATCTCTGAATCTATAATTGCATGAGTTTTATTTTCTTTCTTTTAATTAAGACTAAATACATCTCACTATAAATATCTGGATAATCTGCTGAGTGGCACAAACATTTTTACTTAGGTTTTACCTATTTTTCTTTCTCTTTCGACTTGGACTCAAAATTACTCATTGACAACAATATATATCCTACATTTTACTGGCGGTTACCTACACACACCTCCTAGTTAATAACATACTAAAAGAAGTGACTTGCCACGGTAGAACCGCAAACCTTTCTAATTGCATCATTTTGTAGTTTTTCTTGATGATTTTTTGTGCTTAAACATCAGCATGAGGGGAGGAGATCTTCGCAATTAATTTTCTTTATATGAATCCTACGAAGTACAAATTTTTTCCTGGATAAGTATCAATACAATTAATAAAAATGTTACAGAAAATAGCTTGTCTCTTTTTCTCCTGCATTCTTCATTAGATTAGTCAAACAAAGATGATATAAATAAAATATTAAAAATTTGTTATTAATTCGTTTCTCATTTATCAGAGTCAACCCATTAATCCCGATTATCTGAGCGTTGAGTAATATTAATGATTCCATTGATAGGAACCATTGTAATTTTAGCATTTTCATTATCATCACTAACTATGATCAATGGAGTATACCTTTAGACTGGCCAAGTAATGCTTGAAATCCATAATATTTTGAAACACATACAGGTAAGGTTGACTTGGTACGACCTTGCAGCTTCCTATCTAAACCTACATTCTGCACTGAACACACTTTGCCACATACTGTTCAATAATGTGTCTGTGATGAGAAAATGGCTTTGGAGACTTGTTATCAAGGTTTCCTATACTCAAATGACGGTAGATTCTATGCCTACAATAGTACTTATGGGCGAAAGAAGATTAAGGTTAAGTCTACTTGGGTTCTCAGCCTTCTTCTGCCCTCGCTAAAAGTTCAAGTAAGTGCACAGATTCACCATCTGATAGCCATTTTAAAGGTATAGTTTGTTGTTTAAGTATGATGCCTTTCGTGGGGAAAAGACAGTCCAATGATATTTCGATAACCTGGTTTTTTCTGGATTCTTGAAGTCCTGCAGTGTTCTTTAACCATAGCTTTTTAATTTGAGTGGTCATAGTTAGATATAAAGCAGTGAGTGATGAACAAAAAAAATTAAAAATGAAGATCTAACCATTGTACAGGTTCATCACGGTGTCCCATTTGGTAAGAGCTTACTCCTCAATTATCTCTTAGTGTTTATGATCCAAAAAACAGGAAGTCATATTAACAATCTGGAATGCTTTCACTCCGCATGACAACTTGCAAATGTTATTTAGAACACTCCTGAGGTAAATTTAACGTCCTCACAGAGTACAATTATCAGCCAGAATGTTTCAAGCAACATTAGAGATGTGTTGCAGATATTTCCAGCACTCTGAAATCTGATCTACCATTTTTTTCCCTGGAGGAGTTGCTGGATTTTTTATTGCGCCATTATAGAGTAATTGCAATGATTTGATTTTTTCTTCTTTTTTTTTCGAAAGAATAATACATGATGGCAGCTGATCTTGCACAGATGATGCGGACTAGCCAATCTAGGGAAGGCCATTAAGATCAGAATGAAAAACATAAGAATCTGAAAACTTTATGGACCAAGGTCTGCAATTAAAGTAACCATTATAATATGCAGGTTTCAGTGGCGATAAGGAGTCGCAGAGCACACTAGTATGCTGAGTAAATAGTTTGAATGCAACGTTTTTCATGAACAGCTATTGGAGGCGCATGAAACATGGTAGGCGCATGAAACATGGTAGGCCCATGAAAATGTCGAACAATAATGAAATCAGATTTAAATCTGTAGGAAAAGTTTTGTAACATGTCTCTCCTGATTAGAGGCCCCTCCAACAGTGATTAAAATGAGCACAAATTGTTTAGAATACTTTTCAATGTGTTATCACATTTTATTGAAAACTATGAAACAATTATAAAAATACATGAAAAAAACTTACGTGATTATTTCTTCACAAAATTAAACTTAAATTATATGCATGGTGGTTAAACCAAAAATTCAGCTTGGATTGGCTAAAAAAGTTTGCTTAACCTTCATAGAAGCGAGGATGGAGATCACCAGTAAAGGTTCTACGTTCCATTTTTTCATTGAGAGAGTCCTTGTTGATGATACCGATTCTTGCAACGCCACCACTGGAACCGTCTCGAGTAATGGCCAACTCAATACCTGAAAATTAGACATTGATATTAAAAGTGGTTCCTTTGAAAGTGGCTGATAACCAAAATTTTCAATAAGAGGAATAATAATTTTATTGAGGCACTAAAATGTACCCTAAAAAGTGTGATACTTCAAAACATTTAAAGGGGAGAGGAAGAATTTTATTTTTGAAAATTCGAAAAATAAAAACCACCCTAATATATATTTGTTCCAACACTGGAATAACCAAACACCAAGTTAAAGATTTCAAAACTCAAACGATCTGAGATGACAGCTGCAACACTTTTGCAGCTACATTCCCCATTAAAGATTATTTAAAATTCAGTGGTTACCAAGTATACGTTTAAAATTGAATATCCTGACATTCCCTGATGCTTTCCAGTCATTCGTAGTTCCCTGAAATTTCTCGTTCATATCCTCCCTGGTGCTTGGTGCCCTGGTACTTGATGAATCAATTTAAATTTATACAGGGAATTTTTTAAAAATGGACTTGAGCTCTAATTTTCTACTAAGAATTTCTCAAGCCAAAACATGGACAGAATCTTCCTTTAAGGGTTTAGGAAATCGAATATAAAGATGATGAAACAAACCTCTTTTACAGAAATTGATACACTCCTCTTTAGTCATGCCTTCTTTGTACTCCTGATCTATGTAACCATAGATATATGTGCTACCAGAACCACCAATTGCTACCTTCTGTCGCATTATCATTCCTCCAAGAGGGACCATATATACCTGAGAAAGAGGGTGGTTAAAAAAATTAAAGGATTCCATTCATTGAGCAGGATACATACATATTGAGCTTAAGCTAGCAAAACTCAAAATTTGGGACAGGTAGAGCCACTAATGATTTCCCTGACAGAGAACATAATAAACCTTTTGAACTAAGGATGGTCAAAGGAACAAATTATTCAATATTTTATAAAAATGCGCCAAAACTGGAATTTCGTACCTCTCATTGCATCTACCTAACATTGACGAACTTTGTTTTAAAAAAAAAAACTTCAAACTTGAACATATTCTACTTTGGAATTGATCTTAGGGTGCGCAATTGTATCACTTGTGTGTTTGTAGAAACAAAGTAAACATTCAAGCGCAATTTATTGAAAACTAGGTTTTCGCCTGAGTCCCCTTTTTGCAGCAATGCATTCAATTGTACCACATCATTTAATGTAAATTTATGTAAGGAATAACATGATGCTTCTGACTTTTTTTGAGAACAACTTCACTGCTCCCAAAAAGCTTTTGAACTTGAAGTTACAATAATGGTGCAGGATATGGTTAAACAGCAGTCTAAAGGTTAATGTGGAGCCCTATTCATACAATTCTCTGTGTAGTAGGTAATAGGGCTAAAATCTGAGCAGGAATTTCCGCCTTAAAGAGGAGACTCAAAGTTTTCAGGAAGTAATTTATGGCCTAGAGCCCAGTTTGTATTCTTAGCTATATTACGGAAAAGAAAATTTGACTGCATAGTGGAAGTGTGCTCTCTCATGATCATGTCATGCGTCTCTCCTGCAAACTAAACTGTAAAGGTTTCATGAGCTTAGGAGGGGATTAAAAATGAAACTGTGTACACTAACGTGTTTCTTGCAAAATTTAATTTCAGAACAACTGATTTTTGCATAACAGCAAGCTTTGCATTTGTGCAAGAAATTTGTAAACGGACTCCTTGATTGTGGGCAACGATGTAAAAAGATAACTATTTTCTCCTTGCCCGAAAACATGTCCAACTTTTCTTTTATATTGTTCAGAACAATAAGTTTTTGTCCAAACTTACAGAGCCTTAAAATAAAATAAAAAAATCTCTTACTTGGCCACCTTTGCGATTGTCCCAACCAGCTACAATGATGCCTGCCATTAAAGATTCTCTATAATTGTAGATTATCTCTCTAAATATGTTAGCAGCAGTTTCAACTAAAGGCATCTCTCCCATTTCTATACTGTAAGATGACAGAGAGAATAATTTCACATTATTAAGTATTGCAAATACTGATTAGTGCACATCCTAATTTATTTCATCAGCTTCTCTTATTCTTGTTAATGACAGTTCAACTTTGAAACAAATGCCGAATGTACTCGACAATGCATTCTCATTACAGAAACTGGGGTTTTGAAAGTACACTGTTCTCAAATTGTTTCCCTCTCGAGTTTCTTTGGAACATATTTTTTGCAATATTCTCAACGGGTTTCTTCGAAGCTTTGATAAAAAAATGCTAATAATTCTGAGAATTCTCAACACATTTCAAAGGGGTGCTAATTTTCTTTCTTTTTTCATTACAGTTGGGTCAGCTGCACACACGGTAGAATTATACTCAAATGATCGTGAATTCGGTCAATAAAAAATAAAAAATAGTATGTCTGTGTTATGCCGACATGTAACTTCAATATTTGTGAACATCACCCTTCAGAAAAATCATCATTGGCCCTATGAGAGTATTGTCCGAGATCAGCAAACTCAGGTCACCTGACCAGGAATTGAACCTAACAATAAGACCTTTCAAACATAGTGCAAGTATTACAACCACTGTACCTCAGCAGGCCAACATATTGAGCTCCCTGCACTGTTACAATTATCATGCTTTGGTATATTTATAATATTAAAGTTTCCAAACCTGTGAAATCCAAGATGGTATGAAACAATGTCACTGATCGCCTGAGTATCAGCAGCTGAGCCAGAGCGACAGCTGTAGATATTATTCGTAATTTTGTATAGCTTGTTTGTTACTCGATTTGCCACATATGACCTGCAAAAGATTTGAAAGAAATAAACATTGCGTAAAAACTGAATCAGGAGACCCGTGTCTGTTATAAATGGTTGGTTCCACATCATGTTCTCATCTGTAGAAAAAATTTTAGACACTATTGACGGACACCTTAGTTTCGTCACAGACAAATCAGAAGTGACCTGAATATCTTTCTTGCACCTTAAAAGATACAAGACATAAAAAACGCACTGGCAATTTTGCTGGGCTTTGTTCTTTAAACATTCAGGCATGACTCACAAGAATAAAAATTGGATTCTACCATGTTAGGAGAGCAGACAACATCCTCAGGAATGATGAAACCAACAAAGTGAGGCTTTGTTCTATTAATGAAAAATAGGGAGGAGAAAAATAGACTGGATCTTTTGTCAAAGTTTACTAGTAAAGTGCTTCTCTCAGTGTGGATATAGATAAGTGATTTTGAATATTTTTGCCATTTATTTGGACAAAGTATGGGCTCCTTAGTAACATTGAACTGGTTGAATGCTTACCCCATAGTTGTGCGAGAGTCAGCAGCAATAACTACACCTCCGTCATACTCGGCAGCCATTAGAGTTGTCTGAAATTGAAAATATAAATAATTGATTTTAAATTATAGATGTTATAATTAATCATATTGATATGATCAAATTACACATTGATGGCTAATGTTCAAAGATGCTTATCTTCATGACACCTTTCGAGAATCTCCAACTGTCCTCTAATTTGATGAAAGAAAACCAACTAAAATATCTCCATAACATTTTCTGTGACAATTTCTACACAAGAATCTAGATAGCTTCAAGTTGAAACAATAAATAGAGTGAGATTTGCAACTGCGCAAATGGGGATAACCCAGTTTTTCACCTGAGCCATCAATGCAATACCCCTTATCATTCAATGATATATCAGCCATTCTAATGCACCATAATGCAAAATCTCAAAAATGACAAATTCTCTTATCGCGTGCACCGTAGTACCACAACGATACCTCTTCTCATTTTCTTAAATCTCTAACTTTTTCGTTCAAAGTTAATCTAGTCATTAGGGACGAGTGAATTTCGTCCACACACAAGTCACGCCCTATCAAGCCCTTCTGGCGTATTGTACTTTAAGTGTGACTCATCTGTAAAATTCTTTCAATGCAACAACTCTTTCGGTTCCTCAAAATTTCTATTTTCATTCCGCTCTCCCACAAAATTTCGGTGCCATTAGAAGTTATCAGCCCTTCTAATGCGACATCTCTATTAGTAAGTATTTTTCAGTGGATAATTGTATGAATTGCGAAAATTAGTGTTGATTAGATCTCAATTCTGAGGAGGATTGATATGGTCCAATGGGGCAATGTCGATCGGCGCCAAAAAAACAGTCAAGAAAGTATCAGTCAGCTCTCTCTAAGACAGTTCTGCAGGGGATGCAAAAATGCCTAAGAACTTGAAATATCTCAAATAATTACAGACTTTCTGGCGCATGATACAGCAAATAAGAAAATTGACATTTGTGTTGGGAAGGTAAGATCTAATGATAATTACATTCAGGGCTCTGTAATACTTCAAACTCTGTGCAGTTTTCCGCAATAGGCCAAAAGACGAGAATAATTAACAGTTTAACTAGTAAAATTTGTAATGTCTCCGTGAGTATGTACTTACACCAGTGCGAACTGAGGCATTGAGCCAATCATTGGCATCCAACCCAGTGAAGGATTCAAATGAGTCTCCAGATTGTACATCCATCATAGCCATGATATAAATAAAAACAGTTTGACGACAATATCACTGTAAATTAAAATAATTCAAAATTCGACGGAACCGCACCGAAAAGTTCAAAAGTTCTAGCTGATAAACTATAAACATAACCTCAATCATGATTCAGCGGATTGGCAACTGCCGGAAATCATCATAAACCAGTGAAAACTGATTGGCTCGCGCCCATTCAGAACTGGCGCTATATTTCAAAAAGAAGGCGCTTGGACGAGAGTGCGCACCATCATGACGGAGCAAAATGCCTTGGGACTTTTGAGAGATAAGGACCCGAAGGCATTCTGTGGGTCGATCGTTGAATCGTTATCGAATGATCCTGATCGATAAATCCCTATCATAGCAATGCTTTTTATCGATCAAGCTCATTCGATATCGATTCAACAATCGAGTCGCAAGCACGTCCAGGGAAACGTTCTTCGCAATCTGGACTGATCCGGATCTGCCTTTTGGAGTATTATAATTTCAGTCCTAAATGGAAACAGACGGTCCTCTGGGGCATTTCAGAATTATTTTGGAAGAAGGTAAATACATTTACATGGTGAAACTGCAGGAATGCATATATCTCGGTTTGCGGTGTTGCAGACTTCCTGACATACTTTATTTTCTACATGGAAGACTAAAGAACGTCACTTCTTAAAAATTGCAGTGATTTTTCCTCTTTTTCTGAAGAGTATTCTGTAAAAACCTCAAACTAAGATATTGGTTTAGCCCCTTCCTGGAAAATAAAATAGAAGCAGGGATTTCGATACACAGCAACCGAGATACGCATTTTTGCAGTTTCACCATCGACTTATCGTGAACTCCAAGTGTCATTGGGAGTTTTAATTAGGAACCGTCATTTGGGCTCTTCAGAGGTGTTTTCAGTACAGAGCTTAAAACTATTTAAACACTTTGGGAAATTAAAGTGAACCATTTACATTTCAGGAGGTAGGTAAGTACAAGAAGGTTATTGGGGCTCTGCTAGTGTCTTTTTTTTTTTTTGAAGAATAAATTTTCTAATTATTTCATATCCTAGAGAAAATTTGAACATAATGTCATCATGTCTCTGCGTGTCATTCTCGTATCAGAATTGAATCAATGTAAGCTTTTCCAATATTTCCTATGTAGATTTTCTAACTATGTTGTACTTGTTAGTATATTGTTTCTGCTTTGTATGATTGTTTGGTTTTCGATATGCCTGATGATGACTCTACGGGCCGAAAAGTACTTCAGATCATGAATAAAAATAAACACAAATTAAGGTACTATCTTTTGCTTCTATAAAGAATATTTGTTCAAAATTTTATGATCGCATGTCATAAATTGAGCAAGATGGGATTGAGATTTTAGTGGAGGCAAACTGGATCATTCATGGAACCTGTGCAGCATGATAAGCACAATTTCTGTCAACAATCTTTGCAAGATTTTTCAGAAAAGGAGAAAAAAATCAGAATTAATTTTTAAAAAAAAAAGCCGATCACTAATCTATGAAAAAATTAAATATGCTAGAAAATCTGGAACAAATCCACAATGCAACAAATATGTGCCCAAATCCAAAATACATTTTTATCATCTAAATTGTGAGCTTAGAGCAAAGGTGTTGGCCTCCTTACTTTTGCCGTTCACAAGTAGGACACATGATTCATGAAATAGTGAGGTAGAAAAAACTTGTTTTCGACTGTTGAGTGGATTCAACATTTTACATGGCATTTTGGGTCAATTTTATGGGAAAAAGGAATCAGCCATCCGACAAGGTCTGGAAAAAAGTTGCATGTTCTCTCTTCAAAATCTTGAGAAGGAAACACTTTATACATAACAGGAAGTTTGGAAACAAACTCTGGAATGAGATATTAATAAGCATTTTAAAAAATATAGAATGAAAGTCAGATTATACAAATGACGTCATTGGTATTTTTGCCGTGTGTAGGAGTTGCTTTCCAGACTTGCTGTTATTTTATTCATTTTCTTCGTGAAATTTTGAAGGAAAAATATAATGTGAAGTGCTTCATTTACACTTTGTCAGGTGGCCCATAGCTATTGCATAAATAAAAGAAGAATTCTGAACAGAAATTCCCAAAATAGGAATATATTTTAAACAAACAGAGGCATAAATAAAAAAATTATATACATCAATTGCTAACACTTTAAATATCTTGTTAGGTAAGAAATAAACAGTTAACACCAGGATCTTCACGGTCTCAAGTTAAATTTAAGGAACAGTTCAGATCAGCTTTGAGTACACAATTAATCTTTTTTCAGACAAGATCTCTATCTTACAAGTAACAAACATAGGAATGGAGAACTATAAATAAATATTTTTATACATGAACACAATTGAAAGGAAAAAGAAGTTACTTTGGCGGAGTATCAAGTTTAAAGTTATCACGATGTATTACACTGATAAATTAAAATTATATGACGGTGGTACGTAGATTTTACGCTAACAATTGGACTGAGAAAGTAGCTTTTACTCGTGGGGGGTTTGCAGCAAATTATTTAAGTGCATTAATTAAAAAGAAGAAGTCTTTTGATAAGTCCAGGATCTTTCTGGGATTCTAAGAACCCAAGCAACAAACACTTGAAAAATCTCAAAATCAACATTATCTAAGTGGCAGTTTTGGGCAAGAATGGTTGAATGGAGATTGGTAGAGGACCCAAGACCCAAACCTAACAACTCGGATCTTTCAAGTGGAGCCATGAATAACAAAGGAGGTACTTACTATGGTATGACCATGAGTCACCTACGAAATTAAAGTGAGACAAAGAAATCAAAAAATCTAAAGTTTTGATCCACTCTCAAATTAAACTTCCTAGAGATGAAAACTGAAATTTCAAAATAACTCAGTACCTGCTAATGATAAGTATGGACAATTCTGAATATGAGCTTGTAATACTATGATGGGCTTTTATTATGTCCTGGTAAAAAAAACAATTTAAAATATCATAAAACAAGGGTTCCTTCAATCAGAATTTTTTCTCGTACACAAGTCTCTTTAATTGTATCACTCATTAAAAATTCATAAGAATTTGCAGTTTAAAATTTTTAAAATCATAGGAAACGTTTTTAGAGAAATGTAATTTTTAGACTCGTGGTAGAAATGACAAGGGCAGCCATAAAAATTGAATATTGATGATGAAATTTCCAAACCAAGTATTTCGGTTTGCGACGTTGCAGACTTCCTGTCATACTTTATCTTTTGAATGGAAAACTACTGAACGTCAAGTCTGCAAAACTCTCAAGATTTTTCTTCTTTGAGTGAAGAAAATTCTGTGAAAAATTCAAGGAAAGATACCGATTTGTTCACCTTCAAAAAAATAAAATAGGAGCAAGATTTTGAAACACCGCAAACCAGATACGTAGTTTGGGAGTTTCAAAGTTGATATTTCTTAAAATTAGAAACTATTAAAGAAAATCAATTACCAGTATTTCTATCCTTAAAAGAGTACTGAAACCACCATTCGGTCATTTTCAGTTTTGAGTCACTATGCCGGTCTTCTAAAATGATGACTTATGTCAAACAAAATGGTACTTTCTCTCTTAACCAATGTATTTTGAGTGAATTTTCTGGTGCCATTCTTTGCTAGAATAACGTAACAAGCCTTCTGAGTAAATTAGGCAAACCAGCATCTATCAAACAGAAGCTATGACTTCTTGGAAAAGAAAGAAAAAAGAAAAATAAGGAAATTTCAGTAAGCCTTAAATTAAATTGTATAACATTAAAAACTGGCAAATTGATCCATTTGTTTGTAGATTCATTGATAAGGTTTCCAGATTATGTAATAAAATGGAGATGAAGGTCACAAATCCTCTACTGTTTATGACAGCGTTAGGAGAGTTTTTTTATCAGTTGCTGTCTTAAGAGATAATTGTAATCACCAATGTCTGGTTTCCATGCAATGATCATATATATACTCCAGAGAGAGGCTAGGAGAAGTCTGTCAATACTGAAACCAAACAAAAACCAAAAAAATCAGTCACAGCAAGTAAATATCATCTATTTGTCCCTGGAAAAATGAAAGAGAAAAATACTGACGTATTCTTGCTCCACTCACAGGGAGTTATCATGATCTAGTAAGGATTTCCAATGCTCCACGGAGATTGACAAAACCTTTTTGAGAGAAGAAAATAAAAAAAATGTAACTTTACTTATGTTCCATCCTATTTAAAAGCTGTCTTGAAAAATTAATGAACTCCTTGGACCTGGGAAACATATCGATGGTGTAAGTCCGTAACAACGTATCTCGTTTTCGGTGTTTGAAAATCTTCCCTCTTATTTTATTTTTTTAAAGGGGAACAAAGCAACATCATTCCTTCAAGTTTTTGCAGAATTTTCTCTGTTAAGGGAAGAAAAATCACAGCAGTTTTTAGGAATTGTTATTGAGTAGTTTTCCATTTGAAAAATAAAGTATGACAGGAAGTCTGCCACGTCATAAAACCGAAATACATGGTCGAGAACTTACACCGTCAAAATAGGAACTTTCTAAATCTACTGAGAAACATCTTGTGTTCCACACAAAATTCAAAAATTTGTCTGATTTCACTCGGTGCATATTTTAAGTTTTCTGTCAGGTTCTAGAATGATGGTAACTTTTTGGTCCCTGCATACTTTTTGCTCCTTTAAACACTTCAAGAGGGCTAGAATATTGGTCAATACACTTCACTGCTAACTTTCGGCCTTTGCGTGAAACTTTCAGAAAATGAGAGTTTGTTAGGATAACTAATCCTCAAATTCTTAATAAAGGAAGGAAAATTTTGCTCTACACATTGAAAATTTTTGCTTTTAATTTGAATAATAGCATTGCAAAATATTTCATTGACAACAAAATACTCGATGATACTTCGTGTAAATCAGTTGCTAATACAAAATCATGACAGTTGATCATTTCTAATTTGGGAATATTCTCACTTAAAAAATTGAACACTGTAAGGGGAGCTGTAAGATCGTCAGTTAGAAATTACATTTACATAAAATAAATCATACTGTACATGGATTCTTACCTCATAAACGGAAACACCCAAAGAATTATGAGAAATCCGACAAGACTAGGATGGCGCATGTGTTTTTGAAACCTCACAAGACCTCTAGATTTACATTCAAAGAATTTGGGCTCATCTCGCAAGTACTTAATGACCTATAGCGAAAAAGTTTCGAAAAATTAATTGGATGAAGTAATTGCAGACTTACACAACCTTAAAATAAGAACTGTTGTGATAGAAATTAATTGAAACAGCAGTTTTCAATGCATTCCCTTTTCTTGGATGTCAAATCAATCCGGATTTTATCTTCAACCTGATCAAATTAAGTTGAATATTTCTCTTACTATCAACAAATTATATTATTTGTTTGAAGTAGTACCTTCATTTTTCTCTGGGCCAACCATAATTTTTCAATTCAAAGTCTATGTACTTTCTGAACTTCTGGGTAGACTTTAGGTTGAATTGTTAGAACAAACAATTCCATGTAAAATTAATTGTTTGTTTTTTAAGTATACATACTTATATCATTTTAGTCTCGACTATAAACTACAGTTTAAATATTCTGCTGTAAGCAATTAAGTAATGTAGATGATTAACAGCAAAATATTATTTCTTGACTATGGGAAAAATATCGTTTTCAGTTGTTGTCAGTTTTCCATTCTCTAGTATTTTCATGTCTTGATGTGAGAATACTTACTTGCTTGATGCCAAAAAGTTCAGCCACATCCATACAAACAATACCGACATATATTATCAGCCATGTAATGGTGTGAATAGATATATACACTGTTTTTAGAGTGTGATTATTTTGAACATCTATGTACCATAAAGCATAAGAGGGATTCTTTTTCCAACAAAAAATGAGAGTCTGAAAATGGTAAAAAAAAAAAAAAAAATCAGAAATAAAGATTAAAGTTATGCAAAAAGTATTGAGTCAGTTTTTTTTTAGTTAATTTTAAGAAAATTTGGTATGTTCTTCATGTTTTTTGAAAACAAAGAGTTTTTCAAAACCACAAGTTTTCTTGAGAACCAGTGATTTTCATTGCTATGATCTCATTTCTGGTAAATGATAGGAGCTGTGAAGCCTCTTTACAATCTTTGATTCTTTTCTCGTAATGCTTTGATGAGAAAATGGCAACAACTTTGCGACTCGGATAGAAAAACTTCATACATTTTTCTTGGAGAGGTTCATCATTGACCAACTCATAATTAGAAAGTGGGAAGTTGCATCAAGTCTCAGCTACAAAAAAAAGATGACACAGGCAAATGGACTGTACGATACACAGAACTGGGGAAAGAAAAGAATAGACAAATGTCACATCCAAAAATTGCATCTTTCAACAGACACTTGCATGCTTACCAATGGGCCAACTGATGATCGTTGCATTCAGACTGATGTGACTTTTGTCTATTCTTTTCTTTCCCCAGTTCTAGTAAAATTAATGAAAGGGGTGGTTTAATTTGATTGGCTAATTCTAAGGTTTAGGTATAAATAAAAGATGGTTTTATTACCAATAATGCTATACTTGATGCAAGGTTGTAAAAGCTTCGCTCCAAAACAGGGACACTCAGTTTCTTAGCAATGGTTTTCATCGGCTGAATCAAGAATGAATGCTGAAGTATGAAAACGCATATCAATGTCACATTGGTCATGATATTCATAAAAATGTTAGAGAATATGGATTTTCCGCCTCCTATAACAAAGTAACAATATGAATAAGTGAGATAGTTTCTTGCTTGTAAAGTTTAACGCAAACATAGGACACAAAAATGTTTGACTAATTAAAGATTCATAAAGTTGTCCTATAACTCTCCGCTACATTAAAATAGCTTTGCAGCCTGAGACTTCGTTAAGGCGACCAGTTAAGGAAGAGCACATAGCCTGCAGCAGTGAAACATAGGCAATTTCAAAATAATTTAAATGAAAATAAATATTATGTTTTCACCGCCAGTGTCTTTTTCAACATCCACACAGCTAAGAACAATCATTGAGTTTGTTGATTGTGTGATTACCCCCCCCCCCCTTTCCCCCCCAAAAAAGGTTTGTCTAAAATCTTTAGAGTTTCATGAAATGAGACCTATTTTGCTTAGCAATCACTGCTGTCAGATGGTGATATTTTAAATGTACACTATGAAGGGCCACTTGTAACTAAAGATACAAATGTTGACAATAACAGCAAGTCATAGCTAGAGTTTATACGCTATGTTCAGTGAGAGGTTGTGAGCATCTCCACTGTATCACCAATATCAAAATGGGGGGGTTGATGCAACTGGTGACTGTCACCAATAGTTCCATACCGTTGTGGTTTCTGTCAATAAAAGCAATCCCTCTCCCCCCACTTCCACACAGTTATCAGCCAAATGAAAATCAAAACATCATGCTCTACTAGCACAGATGTCGAAGGATGCATGATGACTTTGTGATAAAGATCACCCGGGAACAACTAAACCACCTTAATAAGACATAGGTACAATGGAAAAAAATGCGGTTTCTTCAGCAGAATATATTGGTGTGAGAGATTTAGTGAGTGCTTAACATATGTTACGAAGATTTGTTGAACTTACCACGCCTTTGATATTCTTGAAGATTCAAATCCTTCACAGTATCCGGCAGGGACGAGAGGAAGAACACAAGGTGAATAATGGTTGTGCATGTTAGAATAAAAATTGAAGCACTCAGAGTAACAACCGTCAATGATTTAATAAATCCCATCTTTTGAACTTCGTTACGAAATAAAAAAGAAACACGAAGACGAGAAGGGTATTACAAAATCATCATTGATACGTGGGTGGAAGCCCATCTAGTTGGGGGATTTGATGAAGAGAAAACACTGTTTGAAGTACGGTTTGTCTTCAGTTCGGCTCAGAAAAACGATGAAACACTCGAGCAAAAACATAATGCAGAACGAAAAAAGCTGAGTGCGCGGAAAAACTGAGTAAAATAATAGCGGTAAATTCGTTTGGATCTTACTACGGAATACGGATTGAGATGATTGAGATCCCACGATTTTTCATTGATAATACAGGATACAGGTTATATTTACATTTGATTGTTTACATAGGCTGGCGTTGTTGCAACATTTACACATCTCGGCGCGCCGCACAATAGATCGAGTCAATAGGAGAGGTCGGACAAAATTTGGAAACTTTAAACGCCAATAACTCCGTCTATACAAAACTTTGACGTTCTAAAAGTGATTTCATTGGTTTCCACGTGAAATTTTCTTCTAGACGCATCTCTTGAAGTCTAAAATTTGACGAAATGAACATCGAAATTTACAGGTTTAGTCAAAAATTTCATGTCCGACCTCTCGAGATGACTCGATCCACTGTGCGCCGTCGCGTTGAGGATCGCTTCGCTATCCATCCGGTGTTAAAAAAAGGTGTGATTTTTACAAAATGACTGACAACGAGTGATTGATAGTGAGTGAGGACCGCACTCGATTTCAATGCTCGTTGTAATTATCGTTTAATTGAAAAAGGAACCGGAGGATATTACAAAGCGGTTGATAACGAGAGGAGCCCCCAAACCAGATTATATGGTCGTTGTGAATCTGTGTGGTCGTCCTCCACTACTTGAGATTGAGAGTTCCAAAGACGGATGGATGACTTCTCATGTGTGCTATTTTTCTTAGGATATACTGATATCCCTAGTAAATACGGGGGATTTTTTTTTTTTTTATTCTCTTCCCCTCATTTTTACTTTCAGAAGATACCCAAAAATTGCCTTTGACTGAGTCCGTGAGGGCCGAAAGTCTAAATCTACATAATGTACACTTCTTAACGCAAGTAAAACCATACAAAAACGTCAATCCCATTTGCGGCGTTTCAAAATCTTCGCTCCTGTTGTATTTTATCAAACGATAACGAACAAGCGCTTGGAAGAGCTTACACAATCATCTTTGGTCGATTAGATGGTGAAACCACAAAACCATGGATCTCCATTCCGGTATTTGAAAATTTCATGCTTTCATGTATTTTTTCAAATGATTACTGCTCGACATTTTTGCGCAAAATTGTAGGAGAATAATGTCAAAAGAACAAAGGAGAAGCATGCGAAATTTTGTGCGGAAAAGCAATATGTGACAGGAGACTGGCGGCATCGCGGATATTAAGATACGTCGTATCTCTTCAAAGAGCGTACCTTCTGTCATTAAAAAAAGGCAATTGTACAAAAATGAATCATATTCCACTTATAAGATTGATTAACGTTGCTTGTTGCTTGGCTCTTGGCTTTAAAACATCGAACTTCCGTCAGTTAATGTTGTATAGCTACCGCGTCAATTACTTCGAAGATGTTTCTATCCTCCACGACAGTGCGACGGTGCAAATAAATGAACATTTGAATTTAAAATCTTGGGAGATGACGTTTCTCACCATAGATAATCATGAATATTGACCTTAAACTTCCCTTGGGTTCGTAATCACTCATAATTAGAACTGACGACGCTCGATTGAGATAATCTTACGCGTTGACTACTTTTCTACTCTACGTTAAAGTCTCTTTCGAGACGGGGGATGCTTTCGAGACGGGGGGATGCCGTGCAAAGGAAAAACGCCGTATGAGCCTTCAGGCATTGCCAATTTTCCTTCGATATAACACGCATTTCCCAGTAAACTTATAAATATTTTTTCCTTTTAATTTTTTAAAACAATTTTGTTCGCAATTTCATCTGAAGTTTCTGAAAATCTCAAGGAAAAATATCCATAACTTTCCTTAAAAATAAACATTTTATCGAAGAAAATTTGGCAACTCTCGAATGTTCATACAGCGTTCTTCCTTAGCACGGCAGTATAGGCATAAAGGACTAGATATTTTACGATGCCTTTTGCTCACTCCTGGCTCATCAATAGATGAAGCACTTTATACTTAAGGTGATTCGACGGTTGCCATTTTTTGTGTTGGAGCGACGTGCGATATATCGCATCAATTCGTTCCAAAATTTCAGCTACTTATCATTGTTTCCTTGTTTCCGAATTTTGAGCTCGCGCGTCTGTTGTCATGAGACTGAAGTATTCATGTCCCACATTTGACGGAGGAAAAATATCGCATTCGAGTGCAGTTTCGATATCAGTATCAAATGCTATATTTTTCCTCTTAAAAACTACGCCTTTATTACATTGAATTTTCTTTTGTCAAAAGGTACATGGATTCTTCAGTCTCATGACAACGGAAAGGCGATCTCAAAATTCGAAAAAAATGACAAGTATCAGAAATGGAAGGAATCGATGCTATATATCGCACGTCGCGTCGCTCTGATACAAGAAATGGCGACCGTCGAATCACCTGAAGGGTTGGGTCTGATATGAGCCAGAAATAGTGATTACCTACTGCGAAGGGTAGTTTAAAATATAGCATGAAATAAACGAGAACACGCGTGGCATAGTCAAGAGTATCCTTGTTCAGTTGATGTTTTAGATAGTAGAACGTTTTGGCACAGATCGCGTGGCTAGGATTTTTCCCACCTGTTAATTAGACGTTGGTGTCTGTCCTGCCGTGCTAAGGAAAAACGCCGTATGAACCTTCAGGCGTTGCCAAATATCCTTCACTGGAAAAAACATTGGATCTAGAGTCCAGACTCTTAAAAACATCGACAATAAAAAATACTCTTGATTCAATCAGATTTAAGCTTGAATCCAGAACCAAGCCTCTTAATTTGAGCGGATTTCCTTTTGATTTGAGCTTAAATCTGATTGAATCTTAAATCTGATTGAATCACGAGTTCTTCTTCTTGTCAATGTTTTCAAGAGTCTGGACTCTAGATCGAACGTGTTTTTTTTTCCAATGTTTGGTAAATCACGAATTCTCGGGAAAATTTCTAAGTATTTTTCTTCCAATTTTTCAGATAATTTTGTTCTCAATTTCACATGAAGTTCCTGAAAATTCCAAGGAAAAATATTCCTAACTTGCCGCAAAAATGAACATTTTATCGAAGGAAATTTGGCAACTCTCGAATGTTCTTACGGCGTTTTTCCTTAGCACGGCAGTGTTGGTGAAAACACGGACATCCCGAGAACGCACATTAGTTGCATCCGGAAGTAAGCTGAGCATTAAAAATGCCGGAGCTTACAATAGTTTTGCACTTTTGCCGCGATGAATTATATTCGTATCGATCATCGTTGATCGGCGCCCAATAGTAGAGCGGGTTTTTTTTTTTTTTTTAACATCCGACGATCCAATTGGTCGAAGACTGACAATATCACGAGCTCTTGCGTCTGATTTCATGTAAGATGCCTGACTCTAATTGGTTCGTTATATTTTCCGCTGCATACCGATTACGATCGTGAAGAACCGTTGAAGGAAGGTTTTCTCGCTTGATTCCCTGAATTTTACCTGGTGTTATGATGTCCTTTCAAATTCCCTCGGTTTTCCCGGTTTTCCAGATGCGTATAAACCCCGCGTAAACTAGTAATTTTATAATTTCGGTAAACGGACTTCAATTCTGTCAGAAAGTAGACATATTTTGAGGTTGAGGGTATACAGTCAAATTCCTTACCGTTACGCTACTTTTCAAGTTTATTGGATTGGACTTAACTTCAGAATTATAGATGGAATTTATACAATTATGGCAAGGGGTATATTTTAGACAGAGTTTCTGGGGGTTTAAGGAGGCTGACATTTGACTGAACGATAAAAAAGTACCTATACTTAAAAAAACGCACTTCTTGTAAAGTGAAAATCACAATAAGACTACAGAAAAAAATGAATAAGATAAAATATGTAAGGTTTATGGATAGGTAAAATAAATTTAAAGTTTTGAGAGGCGAGAGCCTTTCGCCCATAAATATTATCTAACTTTTGACGAAACTAAAAATCATTTAAATAAAAGGAATTTTTTAACCCTATAGTAGGTTAAAGATACGTATGTTTTTTCAACAAATACAGGAACTCAGGCGGACATTAAACTTATTAATCACTCAGTAGATTCAAGTTGGCTATTGGGAATAGGAGAGGTCGTCCATGAGCGCATTGGAAGGGGAATCGACAAGTTTTTAGGCCTTCAAGGAGAGCTTTACACTGGAAATGAGTTAATTTATCACCAAATTTCACAGCTCCTGGAAAATGGAGGTACGAGTATAATGACTGTAGGCGAGTTGGAATGCGGTGGCAGGGTTTTGGAAAATAAGGGGGACATTTTTTTTTTTTTAAATGTTTTTCTTGAAAATTATAATGCACCGCGTTGAATTCCATTACAAAACATGACCATGCCATCATATGAACTACATTCTGCAATAAGGAACTACAATTTCTGGCTCATCCGTAAAAGAACTCATGTGCATAGGAAAACTAATGGTGCATACGTTTTCTCGAAACTGGACCATATTTCGTAGTTCCTCACAGCAAAATGAAGCACGTATGGTCCCGTTTCTCCTTGGTGCAAATAAATAAATGCCGTTAAAAATAAGAAAGAACCAGTTTGCACTTTTTTTAAAAGAGAAAGAGAGGAGGGAGAATCGTAGGAAGAGACTAAGAGTCCGTCCCACGATTGATTACGTAACGCGCTTTTCCGGCCTTGCCCCCCCCCCCTCCCCCCTCGGCGCATTGTAACGCTTTGGAGACGTTGGTCCCTATCCCCTCCATAGAGCGTTAATTTAATGGAGCAATGGACTGTAGGATTAGAACGATTTTAAATCAACTTGATTGATCTAAAAGAGAAAATTTTAAACATTTGAACTTGAGAATTGAAAAATAAGGTAAATTAAGAGAAAAATGGATGTGGTATAAGAAAAACAACTCACTTTTGCAGGCTTCCTCATTGATTGCTGAAAGTATACAATTCGGTATGGAGGGGTATACGCCGTTCAAGTCGACAATCGACTGGATCATTTCATTCAGAAGACTACAAGTTAGGTCTAGGAGAGCATCATTCTGTGAAAAATAAAAAATAAATGTTTCAGCATAAAAAAAAAAAACCGCAGGACTTACTTTAAAAGTTTTTGCGGAGAAAACCTGCTTTCACACATTCCTAACCGCACACAATGTCAAAAAATATACCGTAAATAACCATTAAAGAAAAGTAAAATAAAATAAATAGAGTAATGATATGCCATCAACTTGTCATTGATAAAAATGTTAGGCATGTTGGTCAACCTGCCCTTATCATCTTTATAAGCTTGTTTAAATGTCTGAATTTACACGTTATTATCATGACGATGAGAGATCGTAAACTATAAGCAACGACTTCAATAATTGGTTGACCTACTGTGGATATTTTATTTAAAGATAGAGGGCTCACATTTCTTTGGGCACTGTTAAAAAGACAAAGAGGTATTCTGGTGATGGTCAGCTTTCTTCCATTTACGCTGAAAACTAAGCCGACCTTCTGAAACGCAGACTTGAAATTTTCGCATAAAATGGCACGCTCTGTGCTGACGGTCATGATGATCACTGGATTCACACAGACACTCTTCCAAACCTTGGCTTTGAAATCCACACAGTAGTCTGAAAATTCAGGAAAAATATTATCGCTCACAGATTATATAAAGTTAAATGGGAACCAACGTAAAATAATTGTTCAGTATCACCTTCGTTGTGCTTACATTTCCTTGACATTGAAATTTTGCGATATGAAAAAATAATTCCCTGTTAAAGCTAGTATCGCTTATTTACTTCATTACATTCATAGGCGGGTCCGAACATCTCGAACAGGGGGAGGGGGGGGGGCGTGATGGGGGTCCGAGGGCCTCTCCCAGAAAATTTTTGAAGCATCAAAAATGCAGTTTGAGTCAATTTCGTCATGAATAATTTTCAAATCTAAGCGTCTTTTCTTCTCTTTTCCTTCGTTACTTCCTTATATTCTTCCTTTCTTTCGGGCGAACGAGGGATACAACCCCACCCCCCTCCCTGGATCCACCTATGATCACATTCAAAAACCTGTCTTAAATGATTCTACAGCCTCAGCTGGACACTGTTGCGAGTGTTGGTCCAGAATGAATCGGAGAAAACACGCATCTCGATTTACAATGTTGCAGATTCTTAATTTGCTGCTACTTATTCTATTAAATCTTTCTTCAACGCCATGCGCCCTTACATCCCGCGACGGTTAAAGGTTGCTCACTTATTGGAATCATACTCCACCAAGTTACCACGGACGTGCAATGTTCAGATCAGCGCGTGCTGAACGTAAACGCAGATTGTTATAGCGCCTTCAATTTCGTCTCTATGCAACACCGACATCGATGAAAAAGATTACCACTTGCTCTGAGGTTGTCACCGACTGACAATGATGTTTTACCGTCTTTTAATATCTTCATTCAACTTCTTAGTCTCTGTCGCAAGGGTTTCCGGTTAATTTAATCGAAATTTCATATAACTCCTGTTTCAGATCTTCGCTAAAAAATGAAGGCTTGGGCGGTTAAAGCAATTAGAACCTTTTTACCATTGGTAGTGTCGGTTGAAAATATCCTCTAGGTACATCAATGCAGTGCACCGTTTAAAAATCTTCAATTCATCGCTTACCGGACGATGGAACGTATAACTTCATTCCAAGGTTGCAAAATTGACACAAACAATTTGATTGTTCTCAAGATTGTACCAGTGCAATCTTTGCTGCAAATTTTTGGGATTAAGGCACGAGATGAGGAGAAAAATTAGTGAAGTTAGAATATGAGTATCCAAAATTTTCCGATGGTAAAAGTGTAAATTACGAGGGGAATTTTGGCAACATTGAAGTGTGGTTACGTTCTTTCGTAAAGGAAGCTAAGAATTTTGTTTTATACCTTCAAAAAGAACCAATAAAAATTTTTCTCGCAAATTAGTGTAACTTTTTCAGAATGAGTAGTGGATACTGCTTACAAATTATAAATCGACGGTGAAACTACTAAACCACGTATCTCGTTTGCGGTGTTTAAAAATCTACGCTCACATTTTATTTTTTTGAAGTAGACCAAATCAATATCATTCCTTGAAATTTTCACGGAATTTTTTCCGCACAAAGAGGAAAAATCACAGAAATTTTCAAGACTGGATGTTAAGTAGTTTTTCATTTAAAAAATAAAGTATGACAGGAAGTCTGCGACGTCGCAAACCGAGATACGTGGTTTGGTAGTTTCACCGTCGATATGCGGCCAACGATGAGTAAAAGAAAATTATCACTAAGCTTATCCATAAATAACGTCAACAATGATTACTCTGTGTGTTTACACATTTTCAGGAGAGAGTTTTTTTTATGTATCGAAAACACGGATTAATTTGCGTATTTTTCGCCCGTCATTGATACTTCATACGGACGTATTTCTGCCAAGCGGAACTATGTGCATAATGACATGAGCCCTGTTGTGCATATAACCTTATGGGTCTCATGGCTCACGTTATAATGCACATAGTTCCGTTGAGTAGAAATACGTCCATATTGGAGTCGCAACTGGGCGGGACTGGGAAATTGTTGCCCCTGGGGGGGGGGGAGGGAGGCAGAAGGGCACCTCATTAAGTGGGGTCTGAGAGGCATAAAAAGACACTAAAATTGAAGAGGATCTGCGAGAGTCCCCCCTCTAAAATAGGGTTTTAGGGATTTATTTGGCTTCAATTGCTTCAAAGGAGGTCCGGAGGTCCTCCCCCGAAAAGTTTTTGAAAAATACCCTTATTTTTGCTTTAGGGGGAGAGGGGGTTTGAGACCTCGAGTTACAGCCTATGGCGTGCCTAGGCTGGGCAGTTTTTCCTTGAAATAAGGACATAGAGGAATTACCATTCATCAGTTTTTCGACTCTGATTCTTTCGTCGACAGCATGCTGATCAAATGCTACGATCAAACGAGATTTGCTTACTTCTAATATCGTCAAAATAAATTTAGAATCCAATTGCCCCACGACCTGTGTACAAAAATGAAAACAGGAAAATAATATTAAGGAGAGAGGAAAATCTCATATAGTTTTAGAAGAAATAACCACGATGCGTAATAAAAATTTAGAATACGAAACATCATCATCTCTCAGCGTACACTCCAGGGTTGAAGTTGAAGTAGAGGAAATAACTGAGTAAAACTGTTTTATTGTATTAGAATTTTTAAAGAAATATGGAGGGATTTTTCTTCATTAAAGGGCTAAAACATTTAATTGGCTAGGTAGTCACACAAATGTAGTAGAAGCACACATTGAGTTCGTCGCTTGGCTGACAAAAGGACATAACTACACTTAGAGAAGAGACCGAGACAGCATTGAGTTTTATGGGTGACAGGGTTATATGGGTGACAGGGTCCATGGTTCTTAGCGGAATCCGCGTTTTTTTTGCCGTACCTTAATTTGGGCTCTGTCGAACGAACAAGTATTTTAACAGCTAAAAGTGGAAGTGGGTATCTGAAGAAATGTAAGTGGAAGTAGCAACTCCACGCTAGGGGCAGTGGCGATTCTTGGATGTTGGCAGCACTGGTGTTCCTCCATGTAAAACAATCGATTCTTGGTGAGGCACCTTGCCTCACCTGAAATCGATATTTTTAATGGATTTAAACGGAGGAACAACAGTGTTGCCAACTTGTTAAGGGGCCAAGACAGGAACGTATGCTATGATCATATGCGAGAAGCATAACTTCAAAAATGGTACAGACCTCGAGTGCGTTGAACAATTTTTTTTCGAATACGAAAAGTTCTCTTGATGTGCCCATTGACTTGGCAAGAGTGTCCTCTAGGACTGATCGTGAAAGGACTGATAACGAAATATTACTGGATTCATTTTCAACATGACCTTTTTCTAGATTTCCGAGGCCTATTAAGAAAGGAATAGTCGAGGTCAATACACAAAGAGAAAAAGAGATAGGAACAGTAAGATATCTTGGGATTTTGTTAGAATGGCAATTAACCCTTAATAGTTTTTCTTANTACTTTTTCTTACATAAAATACTCAAGAATACTAACTGAAGAATAGTGACAGATAACAGCCTTACGGCGCGGCGGTAAACAGTATAAGGATAAATGTTTAGAGGTATTCAAGGAAAAAGAGTCGGTAAAACTCTGTCTAGGATTTCGCTTCTGGATGAAAAGAAATATGTTTGCTCCACGATATTGATACTTACAGTTCTCGTCGAACAAACACATATTATACGAAGGTGGATTTTTAAGTAGATTTGACCATTTAATACCTTTAAAACAAAGGATGTTAGAAAGAAAACGAGACCCGCTTAAAAACGGCAACCGTATCAGCTTTCTAATGAACTATAGGTTTTAGAATTTGAAACTTGAGGCTTTAGGCAATTCTTCCAATACAATTGATAATTATTAGAAGTAGGTAGGGACGTTAAAACCATCTCTAATTCTCCATTCTTTACATCATCCGTTTTAGTATGCGGCAAATAAGAATAAAAATCGCTAGATCGCTGATCGACGAGATCAAAGCTATTTACAACTGCTCCTGAGAACCACCATCTCTGGCTCTTACATAAAAACACATATTTGCATAGCGAAATCAATGGCATGTATGTTGTTTCAAAAAAGGGCCAGGAATAGTGGTTTCTTATTGCAAAATGAAATCCAACTCATGATGTTTGTACCTGCTTTTAGCCTATTCCTCCTAAGATTTTCCATTTTATTTTTTTTTAATTTATTTTTTTTTTTTCAAAGAAGTGTAGTTTTGCTTTGCATTATTCTAAGATGAGGACTTGCCCATTCACTTGTTTGCGTAAATCTGCCGTTATTTCCTTTTCAAAATCTTCAGTGCAATCCTTTGCTGGCAAAATAAACGCTGTCTCTTTAAGTAAACATTTTCCTCCCTATTTCACGAGTGAACACTTACTCGCATTAGCTTCTACTTCTTGCTTCCTTTTAATTATTGATTTTTCTTTGAGCTCTGCATTAACCATTTCATCAATTTAACCCCGCCATTCTTCAAACTAATTAGGTACCTCTCTCTGTTTTACAGTTCTTTCAAATCTAATGCTGTATCATCGTTTCTAATCTCGCCAAACACTCACAGTGCTGCTGTCGCTGGTCGGTGCAGAACGTATATTAGCGCCTACAAGAAGGCAGGAATACTTCACGCACTGCACCTAACACAGTGCAGTCGCTGGTCGGCGCGGAAAGCATATGAGCGCCTACATGGGTGCAGGAATACTTCACGCATTGCGCCAATAACAGCGCGGCTGCTGGTCAGCGCGAAAAGCATAGAGGCAATTCTGCCGAGCTAAGGAAGAACGCCGTATGAACATTCAAGAGTTGCCAAACTTCCTGTACTAAGATGTTTATTTATGAGGAAATTTATGAATATTTTCCCCTGAAATTTTCAGGCAGTGTGGGTGAAATTGCGAACAAAATTATCTATAAAATTTGAAGAAAAATATTCATAGGTTTACCAGGAAAATTGTGTTTTATCAAAGGAAATTTGGAAACGCCTGAAAGCTCATACGGCGTTTTTCCTTAGCGCGGCGGAATACTGCGAAAACTGTCCAGTTTAACCTCCAAAAAACTAAAAATTCAACTTGATTATTTTGAATCGAGGGTTTGTTTTCCTAGCCAATAATAGCAGCAGGCTTAAAAATTTAAAACGAGTACCTTTGTTATTAGGAATTTTTTCCTCATTTCTTTTTACACACAAAGTATACCCTATGCGGTGTGACGGTCGTGACAAATTTAAACAAAAACGGCGGGTATACTCAACAGCAATGAAGCACAATCTTAAAAGTCGGAACACGTGCAATTAATGGAATTTTAGAAAGTCGTCAAAACGCGTAGATTTGACAGCATCGAGAGTACGACTGCGAAGACCTGCGCGGCAAATGGACGGTACGACTTCATACGTCACTCGATCGCCGATTTTCTCAGCGCTGCCACTTCGGCACCCCGTTTGTCCATACCTGTAGTAGAGTGTACCTTGTGCAATTAGTACTAAGGACTACAAAGTGAGCACAAAGGTTTTTCAGAATATTACACGCTTCAAAATTAAAATGCGAGACAGTCGTGACACACAAAAAGGTTCATCGGAGTTTTGCATTTTAAATCCTTCCAAATTATTCTAAATTTCGGTAGAGTACCTATATTGAGAGAGTATGGCCACTGGAGTTACCACCTCTGATTGGCTCAGCCATCTTAGGCTGAATGGAGCCCTTAGGACCCAAAAATGGCGGACGCCATAAAGTTAATGTAATGCAAAATGATTCAAAATGTAGTTGTCTTTGCTTATCGTAACGAGAACTTTACCCAAATGCACTATTTCGACTTTTTTACATATTTTTAAGGCTAATCGTGTGCAATTTTTGAGAAAAATGATCTTAGATGTAGTAAGGTTGGCAGCAAGTGCGGTTGGTGATAACCGTCAAAAGTTGGCAATGACCCCCCTCCTATCCTCAAAAACCAAAACAAAGCACCGCCATTTTTGGGTCCTAAGCCTCTCCATGGGGCCCAGTGGCTATACTCTCTTAATATAGGTACTCTAAATTTCGGCAGTGACTGCTGTGCGGTCATATTTTGACGTGAACACTTCACTCAACAGAGTGGAATGTTTTAAGGCGATTTTAACTGGGTCGTCAAAGTAAACCGTTTGGGATTGTTTGGAAACGGAATTAACCGATTCCAAACGTCTACGTTGTTGGACTCCGTTAGAATTACCCGATGGCTTGTTTGTTTATAAGAAAGCCTAACGTTTCTATCGAACGCTCAACGATCTCAGGAGGTCGATGGGACCGTTGGGTTGCGTTTGGAAACGGAAAGACCAAACAACGGAATCGGACAAGTTTACTTCGACAATGCATCTATAGACTGACTGCCCTTAGCGGCCGTTTTAACGAACAAAAACACCTGTGACGTCGAAACTTTATGACGGCATATTTTCTAAATATTTTGTGTGGAAAAGGCATTTTTTTTAAAAATCAAAGGCATTGTTTGGTCAAGTACGAGTATTTTTGATGAAATTAGTACAAAGAAAATTGAAACAATTTATCTGACCAAAAAAAAAGATAAAAAAATTAGGAGGCTGTAAACATTGCAAACCTGACAATCATGACAGTGACGGTCGTGAAATTTAAGGCGGTAAAAGCTAAAAATGAAGCTAAACACATCGATTTACAGCTTAAACTGTCAGAATTCCTAGAAAACACTTATTTACCATTAGATTAGGTCACATAGGAGATTTTGCGACACAAATTATACAACTAAAACGGACACTTTTCGTATAAATGCTCTTATTAGCGCCTACGAGACTGTAGGAATACTTCACGCATTGCGCGTTCACTACAGGGCGCGCTGTAATCGTTGAAAATTCGTAATATCTCTGTACCGAACCTACCGCGGTTATACCTACCATTTCCAGTGGCGTGGCGTGCTTTGCGATATATCGATTGATCTGCAATTAAAACCGATGGAGAAGGATCGATAAACAAGGTGTTCGCAGCGAACACCTAAATAATCGATTCTTCACCATAGCTTCAAATGGGGCAAAATCGATAATCGATCATTCACGCCCCGCCACTGACCATTTCCACTCAGTGTACAACCCGATGACATGAAGAGATAAAGAGCAGATAAAGAGAAAATCTTTTGTAAGATAAAGATATTCTTTTCAAGTGATATCAAATGGGTAAATTTACTTCAAAATCCACTCACGTACATTTTTTAATGAGCCTCATAATGTCAACCATTAATAGTTTTTAATTAAGTAGATGGCAATGCTTTCTGCGTCTCAATGGAGACGAGAGAGGGAAGACATTTGATGTTATGTCATTGTAAGTGACGGTAATGGTGTAAACCATGTCATACATATATTAGATCGAAATGAAGAAACCTTTTATTTCATAGATTCAACATGAGTGAAAGAGAGCGAGACTAAAATGCAAGATGCTATAACACAGATGAGTTATAGTATGAAGAACGGGGAGAAAATTCTTTTAAATGCGGACAAAATTGTAGAAACTAATAAATCTTTTAAACTTGAACTCAATGATTCGACGGTATAAATTTAAACAAACGCTTGAGTATCCGGGGATGTACTTTTAGGCGAAGTATCTACTCTACCAAATATTTCTAGAGATACGATGATGACTTTTTCCTGTTAGATCATTTCCAATTCGTATAAAATATCAATCAAAATTTTCCTTAAAAAAAAAAAAAAAAAAAAAAAAAAAAAAAAAAAAAAAATCGAGGGTTTACAGTAACTGGCAAAATTCCGATAATTTTCCCACGCAACAGTTACCTCTTCGTCGGGACCGTATTCAGTCATATAATTCAGGGAAAATATTTTTAAAGAGCGTTAATATTCCGTTGCAAACTTCCACTCACCTTTACTTTTCAAGGTGCAAAATTTCGAGGTAAGGGTATCGAAACGACTCAGCATTCCCCAGAAAGCATCTTGATCTGCGTCTTCAGGAAAGTTTCGCTTTTGTTTCTCGACGAATTGAAAATGATTGTCTTCCAGAACTAATTCGTCGCGAGGGTTCCCTCTACTGTCGATTGAGGTCTCTGGAAGGAGGAGAGCGTTTTGAATGGAGGGCAAAATAAAGCTCATCCCGGAAGTGGCATGAACGACGATCGACGTCGCTTGAATCGACTTGGGAGTTCTCCGATCGCTATTTATTTGCGCGTTGGTGTTGTAACTCTTCTGATCTGTTATAATTTTCCCGGCTTGCTGGATTTGAGTCCGATCCTCTTCAGCAAACTGCGACACCATAGACTCAATTTCATCCGTAGATGTGAGATTTACAGTACCATCAGTTTGAAGGTTTTGCGCATCAGGAAAGCCATACGTTGCATTACTTGAGGCCGCCATATTTTCTGCGGAGCCACTGATACTAATGAACATGTTTTCTAATCCTCGACAGCAGTCATTAATATCCTCCGAGAGAGGATCATCTGATGGATGGCAAGCCGATTCGAAGAGAGTTTCTTCCATCATTTTATCTTCCCCCTCTTTTTCGGGCGAATGCTGTGAATCAGAGAAGATCGATTCATTACGGTGCGATCGATCGAGCTCATCATGCTCAGAACACTTGGGAGTAACCCTCAGAGGAGTAAAATCATCAGAGAAAATCGATTCATCACAGTGCGATCGATTGAGCTCGTCAAGACCAGAACACTTGGGAGTAACATCATCAGAGAATATCGATTCATCACAGTGCGATCGATTGAGCTCATCAATACCAGAACACTTGGGAGTAACATCATCAGAGAATATCGATTCATCACAGTGCGATCGATTGAGCTCATCAAGACCAGAACACTTGGGAGTAGCCCTCAGAGGAGTAAAATCATCAGAGAAAATCGATTCATCACAGTGCGATCGATTGAGCTCATCAAGACCAGAACACTTGGGAGTAACATCATCAGAGAAGATCGATTCATCGCAGTGCGATCGATTGAGCTCATCAAGGCCGGAACACTTGGGAGTAACCCTAGCCCTCAGAGGAGCAAATTCACAATCACGAAAGCTTGAGCTAGGCTGACTGAAATCTTGATCAGGTGGAAATTTCTGATTCGGCGTTTCAAGAATCCGCAGAGGGCTTATTGACTGCGTATGAGTACTCTCGATGGAATAGTTGGGGGTATCATCACCCTGCTTCTCCCGAGAATGATTATTGCGCGCTTCAGTATTTTCGAGCGGATCTGCATGGTTTCGAGGCGCATCAATGTATTCTTCGTGGGTTCCTTTGCTGTTCTTCAATTCTTCCATACGACGCTTGAGACAATCAGTGGAAAGAGGCTGAACGTTGACTCGGCTTGGACTGATGTTTTTTCTAATTTGAAAATATGATGGTTCCGCGTAGTCCACCTTCTGATGACGATCGAAATCCTCATCAGGATTGCAATCGAGGAGGGTATTTTCAAGCGACGTTACGCACGGACTAGACTTTTTTACTGAGAGATCTAGAGGTGCCTCAAGGTAGTCTTCGGTGTCGCCAGCGGATGCAGAGAAACGCTCATCAACCTTAGACGAGCTGTTCATACTGCACCGTACGCTTGAGTCATATTGTGATGCGTTTTGTTGAAAATGTGAGTCTACCTGCGATGAGACTTCAGTATTTATGAATGAGACTGTATTATTCGTGGTGGTTGGCGACGTACGGGCGCTTTGATTGGACGACTGAAAACCTCGCGAACGGTCACGATTAAGAGGACTCGAGACGTCACAAAACTTTCGATTCGACTTTGAAGCTGTGGTAAACAGCAAGTTGGAATGTAACATAGGGGCTGGGAATGTCCCAAAAGATTTTACTGACCGACGAAACACGTTCTGAAATGAGAGATCATTGCGGCGATCGCCGGGTTCAAAATCACAGGAAGTATGATTTTGTGATGAAGCGCTGCCGAACAAAGTCTGTGTATTAGCTGTTGGGGAAAGTTCAAAATTCTCGACAAAATATGGAGAGGCTTGCGAATCATCAACACTCTTTCTTTGTTCTCCTTCGTTAGTTGAAAGGAAATTACTCTTGTAATTATCTTCCACTTGCATCGACAAAAATAAATCAGGAGCAGGAACCAGTTTTTTTATAGGGCGCGATTTCAAAAAAGGAGACGGCACCGTGGTGATCACAGGCTTAAAGAAAGGTGAAAATTCACGCTGACAGGGCTGCGGGGGTTTGTTTCCTTTAAAAAATCGAGAAAGAGAGGGTTTACCTCCGTTTCGCGGGAGAAAGACGATGTTATCACCTGGGGAGTTGATTTTTGGATCGAATCTAAAATGTTGCGGTAAATATTGGCGCTCCTCAGTCTGCTTGGATGCGAATTTTCTATTTTCTTTTGGAGCCACTTCAACCTGATTATCTAAGTGCAGTTCTTCAAATCGGGCTCTCAACTTTTCTCCAACACTACCGGAGATTTCTCTTTCGTAAGTCGGTGGTGTGATTGGCGGATTGTGTTCAGGTGTTGCGGGAGAATTTAGATGTTCAACGTTGAGCACAGTTAAAAACTCAGGTTCGTTGATTGACATCAGAAATTTAGAATTCATCTCAGGTTCACGCACACGAGAATTCACAAGGCTACTCACGCGGGTTGAATTATCATGATTTAAAATATCACGAGGAGTAACAACGCGGTGAATTCCAGGAAGATTGACGTTGGTTCGCATCCTTGAACAGACATTTCCAAAACTTTGGTTTAAATCCCGACTAGCTTTTTCAGGGCGGGTTTTTCGAAAATTCGTTGTAAACGGTTCAATTTTGTCTGATATCTTTCCAGATGCGGCGTGACCGTCTTCTTTCATTGAGCTTGAGTTACAGGATTCGTGATCTTTCAAATTAGGATTTGCAGCAAACATTGTGCATAAGTTACATTTTCTCGGCTCTTTAGGTGACTTTAATCGTTTTAATTTTCTGCGAAATTTTTCGTTGATATGTTTTTTTCTGGACTTTCCATCCGTGGGACACGGATTCTTTTTACCATTCGCATTTTTCGCTGCTACTTTCGACGCGACAAATAATTTCTTCCGCTTATGGTAAGTGAGGCTTTGGTTTCTCAAAAAATTGGCTAGACTTATGAGCTTAGTTTTTTTCCGCGATTGGCTTTTTTTAAATTTTTCCTTCGATGATTTTTGGACGTTGAGAATATTTGAATGAAGTTTGTTTTTAATTTCTTCGCGGTGGTGTGGCCTTGAAAATTTCGTAGACGATGATCCAGTCAAAGGGGTTTCCGCATCAAACTTCGGATTGGCCTTAGTTTTACAAGACTTCTCTTCGCTGCCCTCGAAACTAGTTATTGACCCCAAATCAGACAATAACTTTTCTGAAAATTTGAATCTTTTTGAATCGGCGTCCAACGAGATAACAGATTTGCTAGAGCCACAGAAACCGCACAGACTTGTGTTGCAGTCCGGGCTGTTTTCGACCTCACTCGATTGGCAGGAAATAGTAAGATGCCCGTCCTCCGGGGGCGAATTTCGTTCACTCACAGATTTTTGAACGCTACCCGAATTATTTTGTTGAGAAAAATTTAATGAGTTGTTTAAGCAATCACTATCGCGCCCGCTTTTCATTTTCGCTACTTTAGAATGTTTGCTGTTTGTCGCATTATTATCACGTTTACTTTCATCGGGAATGACTTCAGAGGTACAATCTGTGACTACACTTTCGGGATTAATTTTCCTCTTCAGTGGTCGATTTTCTTTACCCTTTTGGATGACTTTCTCGACTTCGCGGGGCTTTGAACTTACCGTGACATTTTCGGCGAGTTTCTTCCTTTTGGAGGTTATGTCTCGATCCGGGACGAGATCATCTTTTCTCTTGAAAAGTCTATGTTTGTTTTTAAAAGTGATCTTGTCAATTGTTTTATTATTGTCAGGAGGATCGCGCACTGGTATAGTGCCATCATACGGAGGGGAAAGTTGTTCTTTGGCAAAATTCTTCTGTACTCTCTTTGAATTTTTGACGGTTGTTTTGGCGTTCCTCTGCAATGACTTTTGAAGTTGAAAATCGGGCGACCCACGAATTTTTTTCGATATTACTGGCACCCTGCTGGTGCGTTCCATTTTCCTTGCAATTTTACGGTGGTGTAATTTTGCTCTTGAAGGAAATTGAGGGCTGTTGACGGTATTGCTAGCGAGAGTACCCTCAGAGTTTTTATTCGATTTTGGATTAGCACGTTCACTATCTTTTCGAGCATTATCTTTTAAGAGTTGTTTGGGATTTTTATCTTTTTTGACAAGTTCTTGTAACTTCTCTTTCAATACTCGAACATCGTCGGAACGTACTTTCCTTTGCCGAGCAGGAGTATTAGGCCGAAAGCTACAAAATGTGTTCTTTTTTATTTTAGCATAAGTAGTAACAACTGCCCTCGTCGTACTCTTCTTACGTTCGTTCGAGACAGAAGCATCGTGGGCTTTTTTGGTTGTGACTGTGTTTGGATCGGAGGGTTTACTTTTCGGTTCTTGCGTTAAAGTCACCGGTGGCTGGTTACAGTCTGTCTTTCGATCACTTGATTTTATCTTTTCATCATCGAATACAGTAGGTTTCAGATTGCTTTCTGAAACCAAAAATTGTTGAATGGCTTGCTGAAGGCAGTCAAAAAATGCTGTTTGATTTGAGAAAATGACCTCCGTGGATTTCGGAGAGGATACGATACTACATTCCCCTGAGATGCAGGTTATGTCGATGGCAAAAACAGCGTGCTTGGATTTTTGAAAAATCGGTGAGGCGGTTGGTGAACGAGATTCCGATGGTTTGGTTTCGAGACACGGAATTTTGCTTAAAATTTGATCGTTTATTGGTACTTTAGAGCACCTCCCTTTGTTCTTGACGTGGATTCCGTTGAGAAAAAAACTTTTTGATAGTAGGAAGTTAATTAAATCACGGATAAAAGAATTTACAATCAACCGTTTGTTGATGTAGACTAACTGAATGGTATTTTCATGGTTGGTATTACGACTTATAACACCAGAAACGTTGATAATTTCGTTGTTCGCTGACACTTCAATGAGAGATGAAATTGATACTTCGGGGTAAGCACAACAGAATCTCGCCATGAGATTATCGTTTTTCTTCAATTGAAGAGCAAGTGCTCCAGAATGATTATCTCGGAGAGAAAAACTGACCTGAAAGCGAGGAGGAGAAAAATACACTACATAAAGAAATTGTAGCTAGGGGATATATTTAAAGCTAAGAAACACCAAGGGTTAGCTTTGGGATTACAGGAATTGAAAATCAGAGCTTTGGAAATTTTGAATGATACGAATCTTTGACACAAGCATATTCATTCTTTTCTTCCTTTCCTCTCTTTCAATGGACAGGGAATATCAAAGCAGCTTCTAAACAGTGGTTTCGCGGTAGTGTGCTTTGCGATACATCGATTTATCTGCCATCTAAACCTCTGGAAAAGGATCGATAAACAGGATGTTGGCAACGAACACCTTAATAATCGATTCTTCACCACAGCTTCAAATGGGGAAACATCAATAATAATCGATCATTCACGCCTTGCTACTGCTTTCTCAAGTAATCATCTTGCGATATCCACATGAAAAGGGAATTAATCTATATATAGGGGACCGTCTATAAACGATGACAGTCACTTTTCCAGCCTTATCAGACAAAAAAAAAAAAAAAAAAAACAAAAAAACAAAGAAAAAAAAAAAAGAAAAGAAAAACAGTCATTTCGGGCATAAAACATTAGGATTAGTTTTACGTGATAGTATAAGGGCAACTCATGCCATTCGACTGAAAAAATATCGGTTTCAGGAAAAGTGGATAAAATTCTTAAGACATTTAAGTAATGCACCTATTGCTCAATATTGCATCAATATTGATGCTTACTTTAAAAAAAAACGCGACAATGGTTTTCTTCTATCTTTCGCCGGTTTTCCTGAAAATAATTTTTTTCCATAAAAAGCTCACTTCTCGAAAGAAAAACCCTGATTTTCTGAAAAATTGATGAGTTCTAACGGAGACAAACTAGCGTCAATTCTGCTGTGCTAAGGAAAAACGTCGAATGAACATTCGTGAGTTGCCAAATTTCCTCCGATAAAATTATTATTTCTGAGGATATTCAATATTCATGAATATTTTCTCTTGAAATTCGCAGATGATTTAGACTTGGCTGCGAATGAAATTATCTGAAAAAAGGGAGGAAGGATATTCACAAATATCTCTGGAAATTCGTGTTTTATCAAATGAAATTTGGCAACGTCAGATGGTTCATACGGCGTTCTTCCTTGGCACGGCAGCAGAACTGCGCGCTCAGCGCAAAAAAGTAGAACGATCCATCGAGCGTCCGGCGTATTTTTCAATGCTGGTTTGTGTAGTTCATCATTTTTCTTTCTCAACGCAAATCGAATTCAAGTTACATTTATAAGAGGGTAAAATGCACTTACATGTGGATGAACAACTGAAATAGATGAAATTTGTCTTTTTACGCGATTCAGCTCGATAGAGGGGCAAATCAGCTTCTGCCTGATTGGCTGGTTGTAAAATAGGCCCTCAATAATGATCGTTGTGCCATGAGTTGCTCTGTTTTGGGGTGCTCCTTCACTTTTCCCCTGGGACTTTCCACATTTCCAAACCTTCGAACAATTTTCAGGATTCCTTTGATCATGCAAAATAGCATGCCGTCACGCTGACTAGTACTCAATATTTATGTCGCAGGCAAATAGTCAATTCAGGCATTTTATCAAATGCCTAGGCAGATAGGTACTTAAATTTTCAGAGTTTACGAGGTTTTTTTACGTTTTCACAAAGACCTCTCTAGTTTTCAATATTTTGAGACGGAAAAATCCGTTAAAGTACAAACCGTCATTTTATTTCCCGTTCAAAAATGCTCCTCATAATTTTTCATCCGTCCAAATTATTGAAAACTTTTTACATTATGAAATGCTGCATATTTTGAGATAAATTCGCATAAGGACTAGAAAAAATGTATTCATGATTGTATGGAACAAGTACTACAGATAATTCTTTTCCTCATGATCAGAGAAACATTTCGTCCACAGTCGGTTGAAGGACATTTCGACAACGATTTTTTGTCCGTACACCTGGTTCTTCTAGTAATTCATGTCCACGCGTTTTTTCGGCAGGGAAATTCGTGCCGCAGTACCTTGATTTATTTAGCGAGGAAAGCTTTGTACTCATCACGGACGCCTATCATTTTTAAAATGTTTGAGCGCCTTCGATTTCGTTTGGTACTGTGCAACACCTCTGTTGTGAAATGGTTGCTTGAGGCGCCTTGGCACGCTGCGGGCTGCGGCGCGGCGCGGCTGCCCACCTCCCAACGCGCATTGACGCCTACAAACCTAAGTGGATACTTCCAGCATTGCGCAATGCGTGAAGTATCCCCTTAGGTTTGTAGGTGTTAGTGCGCGTCTCGCGCCGCGCCGCGGCCGCGCCGGTAGCACGCCGCGCGCCGCTCCGCTCTGCGTTTGGCTGTAGTATTTAAAATCGCGGAGTCGGCGGTTTTTAGCTCATGATTTTGAAATTTTTGCACACCCTGCATGAATTTTCCTCATTTAAATTGATGAAAAAAAAATATGTATTAAAGGGAAATATAAAATGTGTTTTGTAAATATTAAGGTGGTTCCGTGTCAAATTCAATGATTCCCAAAGCACTTTAATTCTTTCTTTTATATGTGCATTTACTATGCTGCAGCGTGGTGTACGCGCGATCAAACGCTCAAAATTAGACGTATTTGATTCTAAAAGATCGATGTACGCACGGGTTAAAACTAATGATTGCGTGCTTTTTGGTTTTTACCCCTTTTTTATTCAATTTTGTATAGTTTCTTTCAACACAACTCTTATTTTACGCATGGACGCAAACTACTCGACAAAACAGGTGCGCGGACGAAAAATCGTTGACGGAATGTCCTGAAACCCCGCAGTCAGGAAAATAATCAGAATTTCAGTCTAAATAAGAATATTTAACTATTTGCCTAAGCGTTTAACAAAATGCCGGAGTTGAAAATTTGCCTGCGACATTTTTACAATACGGATGGGCCATTATTGATTGGGAAGAGGGGCGAGAGGACACTTTATTGTCGCTCTTCTGGTGTAAGAGCTATCTCGATTTCTGCATGAACCCCAGAAAGCAAGAATTTCAGTGGCGTGGCGTGCTTTGCGATATATCGATTGATACGCCACTCAAACCTATGAAAAAAGATCGATTATTAGGGTGTTCGCAGCGAACACCCAAGTAATCGATTCTTTACTATAGCTTCAAATGACGAGATATCTATAATCGATCATTCACGCCACGCCACTGAAGGATTTATACGTAAAACAGGTCTCGCGTGGAACTTGAGATACACCCCTACGTCAGAGGGGCGACGATATCGATGGCTAGACTGCCGTGCTTAGGAAAAACGCCGTATGAACCTCCAGGCGTTGCCAAATTTCCTTTGATAAAAAACGAATTTCCCGGTAAATTTGTGAATATTTTCTTTCCAATTTTTCGGATAATTTTGCTCGCAAGCTTATCTAATGTTCCTGCAAATTTCAAGGAAAAATATTCATAACTTTCCTAAAAAATAAACATTTTATTGAAAGAAATTTGCAACTCTCGAATGTTCATACGGCGTTCTTCTTCATCACGACAGTAGAGTGGAGAAATGAGATATCCGAGTGCGACGTGCATATCTCTGCTCATGTACAATTTTTTAAATAAAAATTAACGATCGGGTCCTATTGAAATTGTTCTCGAGTCCCCTGCACACATTTCGAAAACTTGGAAAATTAAGGAAATATTCTGATTATAGTTTTCTTTTCAAATAGTAAAGTATAATCGGAGATTTTGAAACGTTGCAGAGGAGATAAGTATTTCTTGATTTCAGCTATCGATATACGGTTGCAAGAAGTTAATTTGGTGATGAAGTAAAGTTCTGTTGGGAGGAAAACAAATTGCTCAGAATTTCACATTTTCGGGTGATAAATGGGTAAAAATAATGTTTGCCGTCAAGACTGAATGGTAAAAACTTGAATGAAATAAAAGGTTGATAAAATTATGGATTTCATCTTTAGGTCATTACATTACATTTTATACCTTTATTTCAGACCAGGACCTTTCATTTTCAGACCTTGTGGATTATATTGCACCAAACAATGCATATGAATCCTTCCTGTTCAGATTTATGATTACAGAAATAAATGTTTCCCTTGCGAAGCCAGCAAAGAAAAGATCAACAAAACGCAAAATTTCGAATTTAAGAACTTTGAATTCAGTATTATAAAAAAACTGAAGTAACTGCTCTTCAAGATCTATGAGCAACAAATGGCTTCTCCGGATCAATATCAAGCTTACGTAGTGAGATCATCGGGGCTTTTCCCCCAAAGACGTTTTCACAAAGGCGTCGCGGGTGTCGATCCCGCAAATTACTACCGATAACCGTAATTTGCAACATTTGGCAACGCTGCCATGATGGAGCACGGCTCATTCAAACTCCGAGGATTTCATAAGTAAACATGATTGTAAAAGTAACGTAGAAAACCCCTTGAGCATTAACGACAGTTGCTACCGTGCTAAAGAAGGACGCCGTATGAATATTCGCGAGTTGCCAAATTTCCTTCAATAAAATGCTTATTTTGGAGGGAAGATATTCATATTTTTCCTTGAAATTTTCAGGGACTTCAGGTGAAATTGCGAGCAAAATTATCTGAAAAATTGGAAGGAAAATATTCATGAGTTTATCAGGAAATCCATGTTTTATCAAAGGAAATTTGGCAACGCCTGAAGGTTCATACGGCGTTTTTCTTTAGCACGGGAGAGTAGTCATACGTTTGACTAGAGAAAATCAGACCGCCTGCAATTTTGTCTGTAGGCAACACGGGCATCCCGAGAACACGAATAGTTGCATCCATGACCTCTAGCCATTGAAAAAAACGGGGCGCAAGTTATGCCGCTTGTGGACACAAAATGTGTCACTCATTTCATTCATACGTCGTAGTTGCACGATAGTAAAGCAATTTGAGTATTCAATCAAATTGAAAAGAAGAAAAAAGCAAGTTAATATTTGAAAATAAAATTTCGATTGTTTATGCTGTAATTAAACACTTAACCTTCTTCCGACTCTACTTAAATTAATTGGCGTTTCATGAATTTGATCCACTTGGGAATATGTAAAAATCGTATGCAAATTATTTGCTATTTTCTTCTTACATATATGGCAGCATTGCCAAATAGTGCAATTTGCGGGTCCTTATGAGCAATAACGACCGGAGTCACGACGCATCGTGATCATCGCTTTTTGCAGGGTGATAAGTTTTCTTCGATCCAAAAATTGCACGACTTTTCAGATATTTTGAGCGTAAAAATCCCCTGACTTTTCAGTGTTATTTTGGCATAGTTCCTGATGAAAATTCTGATCACGGACGATTCTGAGTGCGAAGTATCTTGAAAGTGGAAAAATGCAATGTTTCAGCTGGAGGAAAACATTTCCGCTGCAAAATTTCCTGACTATTCCTGAATTATCAGGGTTCGCTAAAATTCCTTTTCCATCAATTTGCACACAGCGCCTCTGCGCCTGAGCGTTAATGCGTTGTGTGATCACGAACAAGTTAATACAAAGGCAGCTTACACGAAAATATGATTCATCCGAGTTCCTTGTTCTTGAAATTATCATTAGATTCTGGCATGTCTCTAGGAGTATTTTAAAATTTTGAGCTTGGAAAAAAGGATATGATGCAAACCCGTCTTGATGGGGAAAATGAGTTTTGTCTCTGAGGGGTTGAAAAAGCCAACAAAATAATTAATATAAAAGCTGTACACTAACATCTTAGAAGAGATACAGAATATTTTAACACATTTGGGCGATGAAAAAAAAAGTAAAACTATACAAGAACTGGAAAAAATGCCGTCCTGAAGTAATATTAAGATTTAACAGCTACTAGTTGCTGAAAAAATACTGCTTCGATAAAATTTGAGACAATGAGTTCGAAAAAGACCTACCTCCTCCATCGGCAGAACTGGGAGGGAGGCAGCTGCGGGGAGCCTTCACCACTCACCTCTACAAATCTATTTGGCCCCCTCCATAAACTAAGGGATATTTTGCCGAATAAGTGCGATATATATGATATTCATCTTTGATATTGTATTTCAATCAAGTTTTTGGTGGGCAGCTAAAAAAATTGCTTAAATTTATCAAACTTTCCTTTCTCTGGGAGGCTCCTCAGACCCCCCTCCTTTGAAGCACGGAATTCTCCAAACCCCTCTTGATTAAGTGTCTCTGCACTTCCTGACCCCCCCTGAGTGACTTCTCCTTCAAGTCTCCCCGCAAAAAATCCTAGTGCATGTACCTACACAGATGGATGTCAAGGTGCAACCACTTTGCTAGGCGAATTTCTGCAAAGTAGATTAGGTTTACATCTGCCAATAATGCGCTTGCAGAAATCCTCTCGAACATAAGAGCTAATTTTCTCAGATAAATCATATTTTTCTCAAATTTTTAATGACTTATTCCTTTTATTATTTATTATTGGTTATTCTTCGGTAAACGTATTCCACACCTATGCGCTAAAATTCAAGCCGAAGTAACGTTTACAGTTGTCACAAAGCAATTTTTCGTGTCTCTCGTAAAGTTAAACATTGTGTTATTATTCCCNGGGGGGGGGGGGGGGGAGGGCAGGCATTGAATTCATAGTTGCAGCAGCGAGGAATATCAGTTCAAGAATCAAACGCCTTACCGAGCTTGCAACTGGTTTAATTGAATTTCGGTCATTCCAATCCCATTGTCGACCACTTGGAGTTTTTGGCGATTGAGCTCCAAGCGAACAGCGATAGATTGCGCATCAGCACTGAGAGAATTATAAACCTATACAACAAAATAATATATTTTGACCTTAATAATCTTCCACTTATTTTAATGAGTGACATACCTAATAGGTAAATTGTTTAAAAACATTAAAGCGTGGGGCTCTTGCATGCAGGTCCCAGGGATTTTGCGATTAAACTACTTCTCCTGACGTAAAATTTCGAGGAAAGCACGATGGTGTCACTATGAATTTTTTTGAAACAAACTCCCAAGCTCAAAAATACTCTCAAAGTTGAAAATATAATGGAAGGGATGGACTATACGTTATGGTGAAAGTTCACTTCTACATTCAGCCAAACTCTTCGTGCAAAGATTTTGTCAGAATCTTGCATTTCTTTCATCTGTCTACCTTCAATGTAAGCCAGTTTAGACAGGAAGACAGAGCATTCCGCTACACAAATGAGACGTATAAAAAATGTTCGACTGAGTATAACAGGATGAAGGTTTTAATGATGTTCAGAAAATGTATTTACCAATTCACTGACAATCAAGGGTACGGAACTAATTTGCGCAGAATTTTTCAAGGTTGACTTGGAAAGAGACGATTTCTTGAGGCTTGAGTCAGTATCGTTCATTTTACACTACTTTATTTTAGACTATGTGAAGAACATTCTTTTTCAAAGGTTACACTTAACTCTGTTAGAAAAAGGACACAAAAAATAAAATGAAATTAGATAATATACACGGAGAATTCTTGAGTAGAATGGCCGCTGGCCGCATTACAAACGCATGCTCTAAAACATGCACTGAATTTTTTTTCTTCATATATTATTTTAACTTACCTACAGCGTCGTTTTTTATCGACAATATTTGCTGTTTTTGAGTTGAAGAAACGTTATTTCGCTATCGTTCAATTTAAGTTGAAAACCCATGACAAAACAACATTTCTTCTATCGCGGCATAAACGCGAATTTCCTTCTTAATTAAGTAAATGAAAGATCACAAAGTTTTCACATAAATATCGCGGCAAATACGCGACTTTCACGTCAATGCGAACTTGATACCTAATCATAAACGTTTGTGACTTGAGATGACCGAAAACCTATGATTTTCCTTCAATTTCGCGTGCTACTACAAACCTACTCCGGAGGTCGAATAGTTGCTCACTTTATTTCTGTCTGTGATGAAGAATGAAATTCCGCGAATTTCATCTCGAAAACTTGCTCAAAAATAACTATGAGCACATTGACAAACTTTAAAACTTACTCTATCAAATACTAAACAAAAGTTGCGTTTCAAGAACTAGAACAACTTTCAAAAAAGTGCAACTCAAGTTTTGTGTGGTGTATGTACTTCATTCGGAAAACGGTAACATTTTTAACATTCAAAGTGAGAGAAGGAATAAATTTTAGACTTTCGGATGTGCTCAACGTTATTTTCAAGTATTTTAGAGCATATAATTTATCATGTGATACGACTGTAGCTAAAGGTTCGGAGCAACCTCACAATTACGCAATAAGGAGGATACGCTTGAAATGACGTAATTAATAG